GGGTGGGCCTAACACTGTTATCAAAAACCTCCCCAGAACACATGGAGAAATGTGAACAATGCGGGGCCTCCTGTGGAATGTACGTACCTGTACTAGAGGAATGGCGAGCGAAGGCGAGCCATGAGTGCGTTTTTAGAGCATATTTAGAATCACGAAACAATACGGTATGTTGGTTCCGTTTAACCGTACAGACGCATAGGTGACTCGCTTTGCTTGCAACTATGTTATTATGTTTTATGAAAGGTTATGCAATAGTTAGTAGCAACACAAGGGAAAGGGGAAAGCCTCAAATGCTTTGTGCACTGCACAACTATGTTATGTTACTCTCCAGTTATGCACTCAGGCTGTGTAATGACATAAACACAACTGCAGCTTTGCGCCCTGCTGCCCCAGGTTGCCTTTTTTGTACCCTGTGTATGCATGTACTACGATATAAGGTAAAAAATTCATGCTATTGCCGTATGCCAATATACCTGGCCAAAAACTTACATGGCCGTAGCCAACTATACCTGGCCAACTATACCCGGTGGCATGCCAACTATGCCGTATGCCAACTATACCTGGCCAACTATACCTGGCCGTATGCCAACTATACCTGGCCAACTATACCTCTGGTGGCATTGCCCAACTATGCAGTAGGCCAACTAGACCTGGACAACTATAACCTGGCCGTATGCAACTATACCTGGCCAAACCTATACCGGTGGCATGCAACTAGGCCGTTATGCCAACTATACCTGGCCAACTATACCTGCCAACTATACCCGGTGGCAGGCACAACTAGGCCGTTTATGCAGTGGGTTTTATGTTGTTCTTATTTATGCCAACTTACCTGGACACTATACTGGCGTATGCCACAACTAGACCTGGCCAACTATACCTGGCCAAACTATACCCGGTGGCATGCCAACTATACCTGGCCGTATGGCAACTATACCTGGAATGGAAGGAGCTAAGACTGGTCTTCCATAGTAGACTGAGTCAATGGCCACCAGCGAACCTGTCTAGTGGGGTGAGGTATATAGTCGCAAGTAAGACATAGCGGAGAGTGAGGAGTCTAGTGTGAAGTAGGAAGGGAGAGAGAGAAGGAAGGAGGGAGAGAGATTGTGTAATTGTGTGAGCTCACGAAACGACGACACAGCTGATCAGATGAAAAGGAGAGGTCTTCTCTTGTAGAGCACACATCAATGCTAATGGGGAATCCTGAAAGTTAGAAAATGCTAGTGACTTGAACAATATGACATTCTGAAATTCCTGAAATTAATGAAAAAGAGGGGGTGGGATAAAGCCCTGTGTGTGTGTGTGCATAAGGAATGACTACAGAGGTTACCACTCAGAGAGCAGAATTCATTTCAAAATCCATGCTGGACTTACACAATTAATATAATAGTAAAAACCAAAACCCCTTTATGATGGTTTTTCCATTTGTATACACACTGGCCGACATTCCACAATGAAACGGGATCTTTATGGCACGCCGTTCGTTTCAAGTGTCGTGTAAGACACACACGACGCTGTGTAAAACTACACGTAAGTTACACGACGCTGTGTAAACTCGTGTAAAACTTCACGTGAGTTGTGCGTGTTCGTCGTAGGCGTGCCTATATATGGCACGTCGCCTGCTGGCTGAGAGCCTGAGACTCGGCCATCTTCCAGACTTCCACGTGGTTCGGAGTCAAAGGTCAGGACGTGGTATGACGTACACATCGTTGTTGTTGGTTTTTACACAGCGTCGTGTAACTGTTTAGACAGCGTCCTGTGTCTTACGCGACAGTTTAGAAACGAACGGCGTGCCATACGATCTCCCTATCACCGAATGACGTCAATAGACTGCCGCATACTTATTGCCGGAAGTCGAGCAGCTCCACTTCCGTACGGTCGCGTATTTTCTTCACGCGTCGGCGGAGTGCTGCGCTTGAGTAGGTATATAAAAGGCTAGGAAAAGGTAAAACTGAATCCGAGCGCGTATAAAAGAGAATCGGACTCCACAACTTCACGCGAAGCAAGCTACGTAGGGTTGCTGGTATTTAACTGCAGAGTTTATAGCTCAATCTGTCGTATATATTATCCTAAGCTAGCTGCAACTGTAAATTCACAGTTTGCAAGGATGACGACTGTAAATCAACCCGTATCCCAGCGGCCCGTCACGTAAGCACCCATGCCGTAGTTGCAGGCATTATTGTGTGGGTTTTGGCTCGTCTAGTTTGTTTTCGTCTTCTCTGTGTATCATGGGATTTCAGTATAGCTGTACATTACGCAAAAGACGGTCACATTCAGTCTCTTTTGTCTGCGGAGTATCCAAGAGTTAGTGAATTATAATAATATTATCCCAATCTACAGTAGTAAGGCAGAGGAGAGACTGGAAGATGAAGGGCCTGTAGTGACCCAGGAAACCATGTCTCCCCACAGCAGTCTGACTCTAGTCCTGCCTCACAGAGATGTCCAGGTCAGAATCGAGAGAGGCAAGTACACTCCACTGTCAATCATGGAAGAGACTGGCCACAACTGGCCTGACGAAATGGTCTGAACATCAGCTCCCTTTGTATCTCCATTCTGCTTAAAGCTTGTTTCTTACTCTCAGAACTACTTTTGTGTGAAAAAAATTATATTCTGGTTTTTGTGAAACATAATAAAATTACTTCTTGCTTGTTCTTGTTTAGCTGTTTTTATGCTGTTTCCGTTTTAATTTCTTCTCCAAACTGGTTTTGTATCTTCTCTTGTTTGCTATAATTATATAAATTATGTTTATTACTCTATGGCAGCCACCTGAGTATTATTATTATTACTCTATGCCGACATATCCCCCTTACTTCTTACTTTTTTTGTCCATACAATCAGTGTGCTGTATATATGATATTTATGGTGACAATGTGTGATTGAATGTCATCATTATAAACTTGAATCATTTAACAAATAGCAATTTATTCCTAAGCAGTACATAGTCAGCATAGTGAGTATACTGTGCAGAGAGCCAGGGGACATAGAATGCTCTGAACAATCTGTGGGACCTGTGGACATAGAGATAATTATACCATCCACACACTCAAGCCTATATTCATATCCTATGAATGACGATTGTGATAGTGGTTGTGATTTTGCCTAGGTGGCATTATCGGCTACATCATACACACTTATGCACCTTCAAGTATAATGTGAACTGTAGTATATTCAACTAGCCACCAGTACATACTTGGTTAGTTGGGTGGAAGTATAATATGTACACAAACAGGAACTCTTCAAGTCAAGTATATATGCAATACACATCTCTTCAATCCATGGCTCGGCTAAAACCTTCACCCACCTTCTGGTATCCAGAAATGGTCTTCTGACAACAGTTTCCCAGTGTCCAGTGTCTTGAGAGTAACGAGGCTGGAGGGGTGTGGTCTTGGGGAGGTCAAGGTCCACCAAGAAGTGGCACTTCTCCAGATGAAACTATTTCCACAGCAGAATGCAGCGAATTGTTATTACAGCACATATTGAAGGATTTCCTGAATGTAAACTTTTAGAGTACGAATTGGTCTGTTACGATAGGAAAATTCCTGTGTGTAAACTGCTATATAATTATAATGACATGGAAATTCTTTGCTAGCAAAAACTAGTAAATAACCCACATGATTATGAGCATGAATTCTTTACTCACATATCGAGATGGCTCCTCTCTGTTCAAGTCATTCATATGGTCAGGAATGACGGATGTGGAGTTATCGTGTCTGCTGTACAGTCCCGGCAACTGGCCTTTGAAGTCAGACTCCAGAAACCTCAGATTCCATCTAAGGAGTGGTATACGTAGGGTCTAGCGTCTTCAATTTCTGGACATATCTCTAGACAAGACTGACACACTACAAGGCTATAGTGAGAATTAACACACAGATGAGCAACCAACATCCCAAGGTGAACACAAAACTCTCACAAATCCACGTTATCATGCTACTCTGAAAGCTCACTTCACTGGCTTTAAGACACATACTTTGAAAGCAGGGGGAGTTGCTGCTCTGAAAGCACACTTCATTGAATTGTCTAATTGCCTTACAATTCCGAGTGCAGTGAAGCATAGCGGCACAAGTATAGTGGAAAACACTACAATACATGACTTGTTGTTAGGGAGGAAGAAGGTGGACCTAATGTGCAGTAAAGATGCAAAGAGTACTGACTTGTTGTTAGGGAGAAAGAAGGTGGACCTAATGTGCAGTAAAGATGCAAAGAGTACTGACTTGTTGTTAGGGAGGAAGAAGGTGGACCTAATGTGCAGTAAAGATGCAAAGAGTACTGACTTGTTGTTAGGGAGGAAGAAGGAGCTGGGGAATCGATGCCACTCTTTCCCCACGCAGACATTAACCTCTGTGACCTCCGGAAACTGCTCAGTGAACGAGAGGATCTGGTGACTGTTGAGAGATTTGTACACATCCATCGGAGCTCCATAGCCTGCAGAGAATCATTGACACAGATAGCACACTGGTGCATATGTATATAGCAAGGCAACAAACAGAGAAGGTCTCCTGGTATGGAAATGGCACTACCACCCACACTTCACTGCTAACTACGCAAACCTAGTCCCTAAAAACTACATGACCAAGAAGTCTCCAGGGACCCACTTAAACATTCAGATGGCTAGATTGCCTCCTTTGCCCACCAACTATTGATGCCAACTATATACCCTCTGTGAATACCTATATGAAGAGCAAGGCAACAAAAACAGAGAAGGCACTACACAAACTGCTAACTATGCTCTAGTCAGGTCTCAAGGGAGGACTATAATTATTATACTTCACACACTCCACCTATTGTCAGTGTTGATAACTAGGCCTCCTAGAGTATCACAAGACAGATGACTAGATTGCCTCCTTTGCCCACCAACTATAATGCTGCCAACTACACTCTGTGAATACCTATATGAAGAGCCACAGCCCTAGAGAGGGAGAGGAGAAGGAAGACCACCAGGGTGAGGGTAGGGAGGTGGGAGATGAAGAAACGTCGCAGCAGTCTTGGCATTCTAGCCACACCCAGCACCACTGTAAGTATCTCCTGTGAGAGAACCAGTGAAATGCCCATCTCAACAACAAGGTCATAGAGCAAAGTAGTTTGTACACGGTCAATAAACTTCAACCAGTCTTGGACTAATAGTCCAGTTAAAGTTAATATGGTAACAGTAGGGGAAAAGCTGTGGCAATAAGAGTCTCTCACAGGCAGTAGGTGAAGAGTGACGACTGCAGAGAGACAGAACAGCGGGTAGATTGGAAACAAAAACCTCTCCTCCTGAAAGTGCAGGATAAAACAACTAGCAAATTATTCTAAACTAGAGAGGGCTAACCACAGCTTGTTTGTACCTTGTGAGGTCTGGTGAAGAAGATGATCATCCAGATGATCATTGGTTGGACCACCTTCCTGTAGTCACGGCTACGGATAAATATGCCTGCACCTGGGACTAGGGTAGAAAAACCTTTTGATAGGACACTATTCCGTATGCAGTACGTTGTTATTATTGTGATGTGTGTGCAATTACTAGCTGGTGACATGTCACCAGGTCACCAGCTATACAGAAATCATACTTAGAGTAAAGCATTGTTTCTGTATAGAGCTGGGTGACATGTCACCAGCTAGTAATTGCACACACATCAAGCTTGCTGGTGACATGTCACTGGCTCTGTACTGAAACAAGACTTAGAGTAAATTTTACTCTAAGTATGCTGTCTGTATAGACCTTGTGGTAGAAGACACCAATAGACTCTAGCAGACAAACAATGAGTGTATATACATACGTAAGACAAAGTAAAGTTTACCATTCCCCTGGTAGGCTGACAGGATATTCTTCAGGGTATCCACGTATGAGCCTCCTCTGCCTAACACTGTTATCAAAACCTCCCAGAACACCTGGAGAATGTGAACAATGCCGGGCCTAGTCTGTAGTCAAATGGAGTTCTAGTAAAAAATATGTAGTGTCAAAATCGGTGTTTGCACAGCAATGCCAGCACCACTGGCAGAAACCCCTCAACTGACCTGCTACACACAAGTTCTGCATTTCAACCACTTGAGGTAAAAGGAGCCTGTCTGCCCTATGTGTATGTCACTCTAGCAGGTAGTGCTATATCCATCTCACGTTTCATGTTCTGGTCCTCAGTGGCTTTGTGTGTAGGCAAAGCCCTCTAGCTGCTTCATGTTTACTGCCATGTCCTCAAAACTAAGTTATACATATGTATGCCAACTACACCTGGAATTCTACAGCTAGTGGGGCAAGGAGGGCCAGGATGAAGACAACATTGAAGTTCAGTACTCCATTGATAAGATAGTAGCTCAGTGGCTCCACACCTAAAATGGTTAAAGGTATGTAGCAATAATACAACTGTAAAACTATTGGGCAATTTGGCAGATATAATACCGTAGAGATTGGGTCCTCCTTTCCCAAAGACGTTGTACAGTACAATGTTGAGAGGAGCTAAGACTGGTCTTCCATAGTAGACTGAGTCAATGGCCACCAGTGGAACCTGTAGTGGGGTTGAGGTATGGAAGGAAGTCGGATAGAGGGAGGGAGAGAAATAGAAGGAAGTAGGGAGAGTTTGAGCTCACTGAAACCATGACAAAGCTGATTAGACACCACCAGATGAAAAGGAGAGGTCTTCTCTTGTAGAGCACCACATCCAATGCTATGGGTATCCTGAAAATATAGTGGATACACGCATACGATGGCAATCTGGAAGTCCCCAGGTAATATACTCACTCGAGATTGTTTATTAATACTTCAAAACTCACCCAAGCACGGCACTGAACGGCCACCCTACAAGACTGCTAACTGCCACTGCAAAAATAGCCACCTACGCACAGATGAGAGAGATCAAGTGCCAGTATTATTGAGTTTGGGAGACGAAGGGGTTAAAAAGATTAGGCAATGAGAAGTGAACTTAACAGAATTTAACGGAATTGCCAGTAAAAAATTGTAAGAAAGCTGTACTAAAACATAAACATAAACATAATTGAATTCTTGCATTGGGAGTTATGTCTTAACATATTCTAAAAGAAGCCCCCTAATCAAGACCGTAAATTACCGTATACTCTCTCTGGAACCACGCCCCCAGGGCAATCATTCCGAGGCACATGGAGAAAGAGGAGGGGAGGAAGGCCGGGGCTGCGATGTACATCCCACAGCTGCCGGCCAGGAGGAGAAGGGTCCTGCGAGCTATCACTGGACCAAACCTCACTGCTACAGCCCTGCAGATAATAGTGGCAGTTAGCAGTCTTGTAGGGTGGCCGTACAGTGCTGTGCTGGGGTGAGTTTAATACACAGGGTTGAAAATCGTGTTAGCTGGACAGCTTATGTTAGCTGGCCGGCAAGACATGTGCCCAAAAAAGGAACAACAGACAAAACAGACCATTTGAGTTATCAAACATGCAACACTTACACAGAAAGCAAACACTCTAAAATAAACACTAACTGGCCTTGCTGAATCAAGTGAACACCAGGTTCTTTTGGTTTTTCGAAACCCACATGCACAGTGACTGATGAAGTATATGATACCTGTAGAAGTAGGCCTCACACAGAGCACATACTGCAGCCAGGATAACTCTCACCAGGTAGAATGCTATCAGCTACAAAAACACGGACCAGTTACTACCAGTTATTAGGAAGACAAATGTTAACAATGTATACTTTGTTGGTGGTGTTGGTAGCAAGAAGGGGGAACATGTGGATCAAGATGTAGCCATAGGAACGGAGGGCATATGTTGGAGAATATTCCCAAGTCTGAAATCCACCTCCATACAGTAGGTGGTGGGCCTGCAGAAGAAAGAAGTACACGCATGCGCAAAATATAGCGCGCCAAAACACGCGCATGCGCACACCGAAAAAGTTAGCTCCGCCCCCTACTAATTCATGGACAACAAAATCAAGCGCACGCCATGAATACAGCATTTTCGACGCAAATGCAGTAACACGGCACACATAATGGAATATTTATCTTACAGGCTCCCAGTAGTTGTAGGTCTCGTCGCAGTCGGAAATGTGCACGAGGAAAGCTCCCAACAGCCGCGGGACGAGCAGCCAGCGAAACGCTACCGACTCTAGCGGCAGCCACCCGGAAGAAGATTTCCTTGACTTCATCCTCCTTCTCTCATTCAGTCCTTTCACCCGAGCAAAACAGCCCGAAGTTCGAAGCTCGGCGGTTCGAAGGTGGAAGAATTGCGCATGCGCATTTTGTACCTCCGCCCCTGACCACACCCACACACGGACAGTGGTCAGGTAGTGACGTCATAGATCGTCCTCGTCAGCACTTTTCGGTGTGCCATGTGGTAAGGGATCGAAGTCGCTGCGACAGCTCTGCAATGCGGACCATGGCTCTTGGCGGGAACCTAACATCGGCAGGTGCGAACCTTTTCCCTCCGAAGCTTCACTAGGTCCTATTTCATCGAGAAAGTGCGCAAAAACCGCTGTTTCTAATAGACGCCCATCCATGTACAAAGATGCACCGGAGCTTTAGAGGCAGTCGAGCGTTACTGTGGACCCTGTACCGATAGTATGGAGGTTTTTGTTTGATTGCAGCTGGGATTCTGTCTCTGCTGGAAGAACCGGAGCCCGAAGTGAAGGTTTTTGCTCTCCAGAGGCTCAACTTGTTGGTGGACAGATTCTGGGCAGAGATCTCTGAGCGAGTCAGCAAATTGTGAGTAGTTCTAGCTGAACGAGAGAGGGAAGTAGTGGAGGGAGGGAGGAGAAAAAGTGCATTATTTTAGTGACATTTGAGATTATCTTGTGAAGAAAGCTACGTACCTATTCTCACCGTCTCATGAACATTAGTATTGGATGGTTGTTGTCCGTGCAGTGAGGAGCTGTATGAAGATGAATCATTTCCCGAGAGAGAACTCTCCGCTCTGGTTGCCTCTAAGGTGAGACTAGACTCATGTATTATTCATGAGGTGTGCACCCCCATACTGTGTATACAGGTGTACTATCACCTGGGGTCGTTCAAGGACTCGCTCACATTCGCTCTTGGAGCTGGTCAGAAGTTCGACGTCAACGGAACAACAGAGTACATAGAAACCATCTTGTGTGAGTTAACGTACAGTGTATATAGGCTGTAGTGTTACACTGACTCAGAACGCGTCGGGCTTCCAAACCACATAGATTTCACCAACCTGATGTCTAACAATGTCCATGCGTAATATAAACCGGGTCTCTCATATCTTCCATAATACTCTTTTGGTGTAAGCATATGCATAACACTCGGATAGAAAGTTCTTGGAAGCTATATATTATACTCCCTCCCTCGTTCTCAGTTCTCCCCCTCCCTCTTTCTCATTCTCACCACAATACTCTGTGGATCATATGTACACAGCCAAGTGCATAGACCACTACACTCAGCTGAGGGTCAAACAGTTTGAGGAGGAGTACTCTGTCTGCCGCTGTGGCCGAGGAGAGCAGCGGGAGGGACGAAGAGGAAGAGGAGGAGGAGGAGGAGGAGGAGGAACAGCAGGAGACAAACGAGGTCGTCATTGACACCAGACTGGAGTCGATTGTCAACCGGATGTTTGAGAGGTGTCTCAGCGATCGTCGATATAAACAGGCCATCGGGATTGCCTTCGAGACCAGGAGAGTTGACATCCTCCAGCGAGCCATTCACGAATCGGTTAGCAGAATATCAACCCCAAACCTCTTGCATACAGAACTGTCAAGTTGTCTGTTTTGGGCACATGGCTTGTTTCGATTCAGTGCCAATATGTTAACGTATTTAACCATCAGTTGTATCGATTTTTGTGAAGGGAAGTCTTTTTCCAAGGAGATTTTGTTATGTAGGACACTTCTCGTTGGTATTTAACCTCAATTGTTGAAATTTTGTAAAAAGAGGAATCTTTGTTTCCAGGGAGATATTCCAGGAATGCTGTCCTACTGTCAGAAGGTTACACTTTCGGTCATCAGCAGCCCGGGATTTAGAAACACCGTGAGCTTTCCTGTTTTTGTCGCGCCCCCATTTCATGGCGATTCTGACCTCAGGTGCTCAAAGTGATTGTGAAGGCTTACAAAGAATTGGAGGTTCCGGATTTCATCAGCATTTGCCAGGTGATGACGTAATCCCTATACTCACCGTACATTACGATTGAAGGGAACGATGTAATGGTCTTTTGTCCAGTGCTACATTTTTCTGGACGATGCTCAGTCAGTGGCCGCAGTACTTCAGAGACTCGCCTGCTACGATGTAAGATTTGTTTAATTCGAGCACCTGTAACCCATTCCAATAATATTGTAATATATACATATTACTTTTGAGCTCTCTAGGGGTAGGTATATACATACTACATACATACATACATATGTAAATTTCAACTGTTGGCGTCTTTTAAATGTTCATGTAGCGGACAATGCATGAAACAGTAACTTCTCTCTCTCTCTCTCTCTCTCTCTCTCTCTTCTCTTCTCCAAAGGATATACCGGACAATGTCGTCACTGGTTTCCAGATAGCCTTTGACCTCTACGAGAGTGCGTCGCAGCAGTTTCTGAGGAGAATCATGGAAGCCATTGCGTCCATTCTCCCCTCTCCTCCTCCCTCCCCCGACACGTCCGCCGCAACCCCTGCCAACACTGCTACTGCTGCGACTCAACCTGCCACTGACAAAACGCAGAAGAGTTAGTTGAGCATTTGTATATACTGCGACCCTTGGCCCGTGTTATGTTTATGCGAATGAACATCCCCAAGGTGATGTGGCTGAGGCAAAGCCCGAAGAGAGTGAGCAAGAACAGAAAAAGGACGAAGAGGGAGAAACGAGAGCTACAGCTGAGGAAGATGGAAAGGCAGCGGAGACTGGAGATTCGAAGCTGAAACCAAAGGCAGAGTATGTGTCTGTATGGGAGGGGTGTGTGTGTATTCTTAGGTTTATAGGTTTTACGTTGCATTCTCTGTTTGTTTAAAGTGTCCAGAATAGTTGGTTTGTCTACTACTGCTTCCTAGTAGTACGAAACATAAGCCCATCATGAATTATGTAATTTATGAGTGCTAATGAAATGTCAGTTTTCTTTTGTGTGTTCTTAGTGAGGAAGATATGGAGGTTGATGAAGGTACGGTTGAACAGCCGGCTCCCAACCCTACAAACCCCGAGTCACATGATCCGTCACATGACCAGTCGTACGTTTCGAGCGAGCCTGAGCCGGAGAAAGAGTGGGAGCGGCGGCTGCGATTTGCCCAGAATATTCTCTCTGGGAAACTGACCATCTCCCTTCATCAGGAGTTCCTCATCAGAAACAACCACACCGACCTTCAGATTCTCAAGAACACAAAGGTATGTAAGGGAAGTGTATAGTAATCTAACCCTTGGCCCTTGTCCTGTATATATATATATACTGTTGAACAACTAAAACAGTGATGTAACAGTGATGTAAGGCTGCACTTATGCCTCTATTATCTACTGCTTATTCCTCTAAATTTACTGCTTTTAACACTCAACCAGCCACGGAGACATAAAAACTGTGTCCAGAGCCTCTCCATAAGTCCATAAGAATTTATATGGGGGTTATAATACTAGGCGCTAATACTTCATACATCAATTTCTGCTTTTTTAAGCAGATCCCCACAGCGTCAAAAGGGTTTAAGGACTCATTTCGAGTTTTGTTGCTGCCATTGTGTGACGTTTTACTATAGAGTGTTCCTCCCACCAGGATGTGAGTCGTGGCTCTATCTGTCACAACTCCACCATCATAGCCAACGGTCTCATGCACTACGGGACCACGTCGGACACTCTACTGAGGGAGAACCTGGAGTGGCTGAAGAAGGCTTCGAACTGGGCCAAGTTTACCGCCACAGCCAGTCTCGGTCTTGTCCACTGGGTAGGTGCTGCATGTCGAATAGCTAGAAAGTTTGAATAGAGAAAATAAGTGACTCGTTGGATATCCAATGTACACTCGCTACAACATACAGTACACAGAAGTAGTTTTAAAGTTTACAAGTGACTGATTTAATTTTGCTAAAGTCTCACAAAACTGTGAACTTTATCTTACCTTCCCTGAACTATATACACACACACACACATAATAATATGTATGTGGTGGAGTTAAATACTTGTGTCCCCTTCTCCTTTCTGCCATCTCCGTCTCCATACTTCATTTCCTCCGCCTTTCCTTCATTTTCTCTCTACCTCTCTCCCCCTCTTTCTCTCTCACACGCGGTGTATATCCACCAGGGTCACGAGAAGGAGGCACTCAATCTGATGGCCTCGTATCTTCCCAAAGACTCAGCCAACAGTAGTCCCTATGCTGAGGGAGGCGGCCTCTATGCCATTGGTATAATACACACTAGACAATAATTACAATACACCAATGTATCTTGCCTATCTTGCCTGAGGCACAAAAAATACTGTAGTTATTTCTTTTTCGTAGGTCTGATTCATGCAAACCACGGACTAAAGGTGATGGACTATCTAGCAAATGAGCTAAGAAGCAACACTAGTGAGGTAAGGGTTAAATCGACCGTTGCTGTTTAACTCTCTTCGACTGACGCCTTTTTTTCATTACCTTTCTTTCCACTGAGCTTATTTGCTCATTTAACTCTCTTCCCACTGAACTCTTCTCGTTTAACTCTCCCCCCACTGAACTTCTTTGTCTTTACCGTATTAACCCTTTCGCCACAGATTGTGTGTCACGGGGCGTGTCTGGGGCTGGGTCTGGCTGCCATGGGAACGGCAAACTACGACATCTACGACCTCCTGAAGGAGAACCTGATGACGCGGGACGATGCGGTGGTTGGGGAGGCAGCTGGTCTGGCCATGGGGCTCGTCATGATCGGAAACAAATCCACAGACTCTCTGGAAGACATGTTGAATGTGAGAGACTCTCTTTATAGAAGGGATTATGTCACTATATTAGTGCTATTTTTAGGAGAAGGCATTGTGCGATGAGATCAGCTTTTTTAGTTGAAGAAATGATGTCGTAGAAGGCTTTAGTGTCATTCTTTAGTAGCAGACATTGTCATGCTATAAGTGTTTTAGCAGAAGGTGGGAAATTCCATGAGTAATTTTTAAAATAGCATGTGCAAATTTTACGATCTGCAAGAAAAATGGAGCTTGGACTATAGTACAGGGGACTGTGTGAAAGTTCTTGTGGTGTATTTTGCAGTATGCGAGGGACACTCAACACGAGAAGATACAGAGAGGGCTGGCTCTTGGAATATCTATGGTAAGAACCCCATCTGTCTGTCAACATTAGGGGATCAACTTCTATTGGTTGCACTCCTCACATTTGTATGTGTGTCCTTTGGTTTCTGTCTGTTTGCTGTCTGTCCCGGCCTCCCCCTCCCTCCTCCTCCCTCCTCCTCCCTCCCCCCTCCCTCCCTCTCCCTCCCTCCCTCACTTCCTTCTCCTCCTGTAGCTGTGGTATGGCCAAATGGACGAGGCTGACATTCTAATAGAAGAACTATGTCGAGACAAAGTGAGCATTACTATACAATAGACGACAATAAACAAAAAGTCCATTAAGAAAGAACTCGAAACAAGCCAGGAATATATAGCTAATCTAGTGTTGTACGTGCAGATTGGTTTTGGCTCGCATTCCAAGCATAGCAAACATTATCACCGCTTGAAATTGGCAGTTCGATATCTGCATATCTCGTTTGTTGCAGGATCCACTGCTCAGAAGAAGCGGCATGTTCACAGTGGCTATGGCCTACTGTGGCTCGGGAAACAACGGAGCTATCAGAAGATTACTGCACGTTGCTGTAAGATATATCATTGCATCTCAGTACAGTGGAGCCTCGAAGACGTGTAGTTGTAACATATATAACTTGAATGCCAAGCTGCGATGGACTTGAAACAAGTAGCACAACGAAGTAGTAATGGATATACTTGAAGCCTCCACTTATATCCCTTTTTAATGTGTATACACTTAAATTTATGGTTTCTGTTGATAGGTATCCGTTCATTTAGATCCTTCGTTTCACGGTCGAAAGGTTTTGTGTTTCCAATACACTCTAGTGTATTTCTTGCTAATGATTGCAGGGGTGGCTAGGCAGATTAGCTCTAAATTGGACACCATTCTGTGGTTGAAACACTAGATTGTAACCAGCCGGCTAGTACGGGAGATAACGGGATGCCTCTAACTATATGCCATTTCACACCTCATGCGTGTTGTTGGCAAACAAAGCTATATTCAAGCCGCTTTATTTCATACTTATATTCTCTCAAGGCCATGTAATTTTTTTTGGAAGGTTCATGTATTAACCCTGCAAGGTTGCAGATTGCTTTATAAAAGGCACACTGATACTATGGGGATTTCCCTTCATAATTGTACAGGTTTCCTTTTGGAGGTTACACTAAATATTAGAACCGGAGATGAGACAAGTGTACACCTTATAAAGAGGCGTCCCTAAATCAGAGTGTCCATTGAAAGAGGTTACAATGTATTCGTGCTAATTTTCCTCTGTTCCTGCCTCAGGTGAGTGATGTCGACAATGATGTGCGGAGGGCCGCAGTCACTGGTCTAGGATTCATCCTCTTCAGGTTCTTTTGTCTATATTGTACAGAAAATCCTAAAAAGGAGTACCCTGAAGTCTGTAAACCAAATATGGATACATACACATCTTTCTAGCTTGTAGGATTTTCACAGAGACACTTTAGTGGGTTTAAAAGTCTAAGTTAGCTTTTACCTTTGCAAATTATACGTAAGTATGTTACAGAGATCCACCGCTTTTCTATATGTTTCAAACACTCTTTCTCCTATAGAAATCCGGAGCAGTGTCCGCACGTTGTTTCGCTGCTCTCCGAAAGTTTCAACGCCCACGTGCGGTGTGGCGCGGCCATGGCCCTAGGCATCAGCTGCGCAGGAACGGGCAACAAGGTGAGATTGTAGGGAGCCGTGTAGATTCCATGGTGTAGTGGTTATCACGTGAGTCTAACACACTCAAGGTCCCCGGTTCGATCCCGGGTGGAATCAATTTTTTAAAACTTTTTCCACTGTTCAGGAAGCTCTGGCTGTCATTGATCCTTTACTGAAAGACTCGATACCTTTTGTTCAGCAGGTAAGCAAATCCTTTTCACTCTATTTTATGCTAGAGAGCAGAAATGTTTCGTGTATATACCCTCTATATTGACAGATGTGCTTATAATGCTGTATATGCTGTATAATAAGAAGGTGTTTGAATTTCTATTTCTGTTTAAGCAACCCAGAACTCTACTTTTAAAACACTTAATAGTTAAATCCTTGTATTACTGGCCATTTCACACCACCAGGCGGCGCAGATAGCTTCTGCCATGATCCTGATTCAGCACACCGAGGCGATGAACAGCCGAGTGGCTGGCTTCAGACAGCACTATGCCAAGGTTTCCGCCGATAAGCTGGAGGACAGCCTGAGCAAGTTTGGAGCCATCCTCGCCCAGGGAATCATTGACGCAGGTCATTACTGGGCTTTGTACAATGGCAACTTTGCTAATAAAAATACTACTTCTAGTACTAAGCCTCTATGGCATAGCTGTAACTACAAGGGGCCCATTTGTTAGATATTGACGGGAATTTTACTTCGCTGTACCAGGGATTCCACTGTTTTGTGTCTCACGCAGAAATGTTGCACTGTTTATTAACAGGGAGTGTTCAGAAAGGTGCGACAGATCAAAAAATGGCAAACATCGGTAGAATGCGATTTGGAATGACTGTAATAATGCAACGTCCTAGGTTTGTTTCCTATATGCCGTTAGAATTAGCCGTGAGGCTCTGTGGTAGAATGGGCGATGACCCGTAGGTTTTGGGACATTTGTCTGTTTATGGTTTCAAGTGAGCGTAGCATTCGGCGTGTGCCTTGTAAAGGAGTGTGGGTAACGATCCGTGCTGCAGCTTACTTCTCCATTTACCTTGATCATAGATCACATCTTACACTCCCTCTCTCACTTCGGGCGTTTCTCTTCTACTGATTTGCACCCTCCCTCTCTTTCTCTCTCACTGTACTTGTTTCTCTACAACTCATGTGCTCTCTCTCCTCTCTATACTCTGTCACTCATGTGCTCTCTCTCCTCTCTATACTCTGTCACTCATGTGCTCTCTCACTATTCTTGTTGAAACTCATTAGCAAACTCTTTCTCTCTCTACTCTATACTTACTTTTCATTGCAAAACTCTCCCTACTGCTCTCTCTCTCTCTCTCTCTCTGTTGTAAACAGGAGGCAGAAATGTGACCATATCGCTCCAGTCTCGCACGGGTCACATGAGCATGAAGACTGCAGTCGGTCTGCTCGTCTTTTGCCAGTTTTGGTACTGGTTCCCCTTCTGCCACTTCCTCTCTCTCGCCTTCACTCCCACTGCCGCCATTGGACTCAACTCTGACCTCAAGGCAAGCATGCACAAAAATTACTCGTGTGCAATAGAAATTGCACATTGTGTACGTGGGCCATGTTTTAACTGCGAATCCTGTGTTCTATTATTGTCTATTGCAGATGCCCAAGCTAACTTTCAGATCCAATGCGAAACCCTCTCTCTATGCCTATCCACCTCCTCTGGAAGAAGAGAAGAAGAAGGAGCGCGAAAAGGTCACCTACTCTTACTCGTGCAAACGCTATGAAAGGGTCACATTTGTATTGTATGAACCTTCAAAGGAGGGTTAAACCCTTTAATGTCACTGCTAATTTGTCCAGCTTCACGTGCGCACGAGAGTTTGACGTATTGTGTGGAAGCATAGAAATATATATATTGTCAGAAAGAGTTGCATTGTGTTTTACAATTCACCAGTACCACGTGACAAACAAAACCTTTTTAAAGTTATCCTACTCTAACTCTCTTAGCAGTATAGCTATTGTGTATTGTGTAATATACAGTGTAATTGTAACGAAATGGCGAGTGTTTTATAATATAGCTTGAGGTCAGGGCGGAGCTATTATTGCGCACTGTTTTAGGCAAACTATGAATAACACTTCCATATTGGGATGCTCTCATTGTCTGCGGTTCTTTGCCGGTTTGTCATCTGACGAGTGGCAAATAATAACCCATCCGCTAAATCAAACCTCTGCGAATAGTTTCGTAATTATGGCCCCTTAGGCTCTGCGCGATGTTGTAACCGCGCAAATTTGTTGATAAATTGTCAGAGAAACTTGCCCAAAGGGGGTGTATATCTGCCATTTGAAACTCTAAACTTCCTAGCAATCCGGTCAAAGTGTACATATCATATTTAACAGTTGTGTATCATTTCTGGTGTCTGATAAACCGAGCAGCATGCATGAATAACCTGGTGGATGGGGATGTATTATTCCTCACAGCTGTGCACTTACAGGTCACTGGATACGCTCGGCGATTGCGGTTTCACACGTAGAGATATGCCTTAATTTGCCGGGTGATTACAGATCTCATCATGTCGGGCAATCATCCGTGGCTATAGCTACAGCTGCCGGATTATTTCTCGCTCCAGGGATTTCCGCGTGGTGCACAGTTTACTTCAGTTACACATACGACGAACAGATATAATTTAGTAGCATTTTATTTGAATTTCTTACTACATACTAACTTTGCGTCATCGGCTAAGACTTTCTCTAAAACTATTGGCAATGCAACTTCACCACATGAAATTCAAATCTCAGAACGCAAAGGAGTTTGAGCAAACATTTTAATATCAAAGAAACTTTGTAGGAAAAAACTAAAGTAGGTTTTCAATGAGTGTGTTTGTGTGTATAGGTGGCTACTGCTGTCCTCTCTGTCACTGCAAAAGCAAAAGCGAGGAAAAAGGCCGCCGGTAGTGAATCTATGGATGTTGTAAGTTTTAATTCAGCTCTCAGTAATCCATACACCATTGGGACAGAAGAAAGTGTTCACATAAGCCAAGCCGGTGTACTTTTTTCTGGGGTTAAATTGCATGCAAGAACTGTTCCTGGGGTAAGAAAAGGTGTCCTTTTTAAAAAGTTGGCCTCATGTCAAGAGTTCCTATGTAATTCAGCTGGCTATGGTATCTTTTTCTCCACTCTATAAAGGAAACTTCGGGTGATAAGAAAGAAGCTTCCAGTGATAAAATGGACACCGCGTCGACTACTCAAACTGCCAGTGAACCTGAAGAAAATAGATCGGAGGATTTGGAGACGACATCAGGGAAACCCACGGGCGAGGACATGGAGGTAGAAGATGAAGCAAAGGCTGAGGGGGGAGAAGAGGGTGGAGAGAAAAAGAAGCAAGAGAAGGAGGCGGGAGGAGAAGGAGAAGGGAAAGAGAAGGAGAAGACAGAGCCTGAACCAGATTTCCAGATTCTGTCAAACCCAGCCAGAGTCCTGCCCCAACAGGTCAGCCTTGCTTCTCCCTCAAGTTTGAACCTTCAAACAAAGGATACTCTGAGCAGACACATAGGGATACCTCTCAATAAGACACAGTTTCGATCATTCACTGTTAGAGTATTGCGACCTCTGAATAAAGGACACCTCTATAAACACAATTTTAGTGTATCCTACATCTATATAGTATACAGTCCCAATGCTCCACATTTTACCGAATATGAATTTGCTATTTCAGCTAAATGTTTTGAGTTGGGATGAGAGCGATCGATACCGGCCACTAAAACCAGTGAGTTACATTTGCCAGTGAATATTTGCACCCATTCCAGTCGTAAGGAATTTCGTGCAGGTTTTAATTACTCTGTGTGTCAATTTGTCTGCCTATTTAAGGAGATATTCTCACGATCTGAAGAGGGTTTCTATAGAACCAGAGTGATCATATTAACATTACTTAACTCTGTGGTCAAGTAAATTAAATTCTAGGCTTGTGGTCAGTTAGGGATGTACAGAATGCATCGATAGTTGCGCCAATAACTCATCAAGTAGCCCGATACGTATTATCATGACAGTGACGTCAATATAGACACTCTACTTAATTGGGCTGTGAGCAGTGAAGGGTTTCAATCCAGCATATGTGCTTACCGGCCCTTGAGGGTTAAATTCTACGGTGTTACCGTGGGTTATGTAATAGGCGGAGAGGTCTGTGGTGCGCGCGAATGTTGCAAAACCGGCTGGCAATGCGAAATAGCCGGGAGTGAAAGGGAGGGCAAATTGCGTCGTAATTTGTTATGGTATTTGGCCGTCTGACCTTCCGTTCACACCGTTGAGTGTCTGCATGACATGCGGTACGGTAGACGGATATAATTCCCTCTCAGAAGACGAGTATTTTGAACACTGTGACACCGAGCACTGTCTGCGCCTTTGTTGTGTTGTGGAAATGAGATAACACAACAGGGACAAGCGAATAATTTCTGCCTTTCCCTCCTGGGAGCTGCCGTCCAGTGTTTGAAGTAGTCACCTGCTAGGCATTCAGAGGTGAACTCTATTAAAGGGTACAGCAGTCGTTGGCAAAGACGTGATGCGTGCTATGATTATACGTATGTCGGCAGGACCCGGGGCTAATTGCTGTGTTGTGGTCACACTATCCTGGCCCTGCACTTCTGACCCAACTCTACGTGTCTTCCAAAGCACACTTTCAGCTGAGAACTACGCACGTAGTCTCCTATAGTGTAGGTCCACTCAGACTATATAATTGGACTGATGTGCAATTAGTTTAACTGTTGCAACTCTTTAGCTGACTGCAGTTAGCCAATAATCCCACTTTTACCTTCTTCCTTTCTAAGTTTGACCCTGTGATGCTATTGAGCATCATCCTATAGCTATGATGGTTGGCCACTACTGCCATTTTCTACTCTCTTCTCTCAAATATTTCCAGTTTATACCTTCTTCCTTCCATTCCTCACGGCTATGCGCTAGAAGCATGTGATGTTAAGAACTTTAACCTCACAGAGTCTTTGGGCACCTGTTTTTACTATGACGTAAGAGTGGACCTTTGATATTATAATATCAAAGAGAAAATATGCTCTTAGAAAGAAGACATGATGCTCTAAGGCCAGGGCACCCTGGGCATCCAAAAACAATAATGTCATTGAAAGGCAGGAGCTTGCTTTGGCTAAAGACCCAGGTCACGTCGTTTCCCACAGCACTTTCATGCATATTATAGGCCTCCTGCAAAGGCTTTTATAATGGATGTGTCGTCTTGTGATGCACTCCTCAATCAATGCCACACTGGCTTCCCTGGCCCAAACAAGCTAACACCTGTTACGCTGCAGCTGCAGCTAATTCAATTCGCCGGGTTAACATCGTCGGTTTTAGCGTTCCCTTTTTGAAGTGGGCAAATGTCAAAGACACAGTATATAGCACCCATTCAGTGATCATGTGCTACATACTCTGCAGATAACTGTTGGTGGGATTCTAATGTTGAAAAACTCCGACAGTGAAGCTCCGGAGGACCTCATAGAGCCATTGAAAGGTGACCTGAAAGAAATGCACTAATGTATTAGTATGGGGCAGAACCAAGTGTCCGTATTAGAGAGGTGTCCTTTATTCGGAGGGTCCCTTTTCGGAGGTTTTACTGTACTCATAGTGAGCTAACTTGTTATGCGTAGCTGGTGCTGCTTTGGGTCTACATGCTGGATGTAAACACAATGAATTTGCTTATGTGGGGTGTTCAGACCAATTAGCGGCAAAGACATTTCTGATACTTTATCAGTGTCAGACATGTAATTCATTGATCAAATGTGATTGAATGTTGATCACATTAACACTTTTCCCTCCCTCCCCATCTCTCTTCCTTTCTCCCATATTTTCCAATATCCCTTTCTTCCTCCCTTTCCCCTCCCCCCTTCCTCCTCACCTCCAGTCACAGTTCCAGGCCGTGACGAGGATGAAGGTCCTGAACCTTCACCTCCAGAGCCATTCGAGTGGTCAGAAGACATGTGATAGTCACATGACCACTCCTGTAGTCACATGACGGACTATATCATTATGTTATACCTTACGCTTATATATATAGGCAGTTGTTCATAATTTATTAATAGAAGTTGTGGTGGTTTGACATGTGCCAACAATTAACACTGTCGCAAGTTATTGTAAATCTTGCCTGAAGTCATAGCGATGGGTGGGTGTAGTCGGGTGTTTTCTACTAGGCTTACAAAGCGTGGAAGCATATTTATAACCGTGGCACGTAATACGTATTATATAGTATTCAGTACAAACGGGCTTTTGGTGCTGAGCAATAGATCAAGTGCTGGGGTGTCTGTTAACATGGCGTTTGCAGACAATTATAATTGTGGAATGATAACAAAATGCATGGATTTTTCACATAAAAGCGCTGCTGAAGCTGTCATGATTCATCAGAGCAGCAAACAGAGCACCAGGACATAATCAGATCAAGAAGCAATAGTTTGGACGCTGAGAACTTTGCAGATCCTAATCCTAAGGCACTAACTACTAAGGCAGATATCACTTTGTTAGCTACCAAGGATGGAAAGAATAAGACTTACGGTGTTTGTAGCGGCGGTGTATCTTCTGGCGGCAAATACGGGCACAGGTGAGATGTTAGGTATAATAATTTTTTATGCGTTATATATACGTATATACATGTATAATGCTGTGATTTACATAGCTAAATGTGTTTCTGCAGCAGAGGCGGCCCGGTTGCCCGGTTTCGAAGAGTGCGTTCTCAATGACCATCACTACACCATCGGGGAGAAGTTTCATCCAGTCATTGATGTAAACGGGACACTATACGAGGCAGTGTGTTTCAACTGCACCTGTCTGCCGGTGAGTGTCGCTCTTTTTGCGCGGGAGATCATAGGGGCGAGATGCGCATGCGCATGTGCAGCTCATGCACCACCTCGGGCGCGTGGGGAAAAGCTTTTTACGGGAGAAGCTAAGTGTGTCCATACTTTACATACTTCAATTAAAGACTCAATGGGATCTATAAAAGTGCCGCTGAGCAATCGACTAAGACATCTAGCAATTACTTCGACAGCGAGAAAATTCAGCCATGATGTTGGCCGCAGTGATACTTCTTATTTTCTCCTCCCAATCGCAGTCAGCCATTGCGCAGTGCGACCAAGTCATCTGCCCTCCAGCCGACTGCCCCAACCCGATTCGCTTCGCCGGACAGTGCTGCGACATCTGCATCCCACCGCCTAGTGAGTTGCGAAAAACATCATCCGTGACTATATAGCACTGCAATGAAATGAGCAAGCCGCGCACGCAACGATTAGATAACCAATCTTCGTTGACTTATTGCGCATTTTCCCCTTCAGCTCTGCAGCCAGATGATAGTTGCCTGTACCACGGGATCCAGATAGACAGTGGAGACATATTCAGACCTACAGACATCATCGAAGACTTTCAGATGCACAACAACAGTGTACGAGACGAATGCATCGAATGCAGATGTGAGGTAAGTCAATCGTTGAACTGAATTTACACGATAAAGTATGTGGAGAATATTTTTCACGACAGAGAGGCGATGTGAATTGTTACGATGCCTCGAACAAGTGTCCTGCTCTTGCATGCAATGACTCTGATGCCACTTACGAACCAGGCAAATGCTGCAAGCAATGCCCAGGTACGTTCAAACCAGCAATTCTGCTTTCAGTTTAGTTACACTTCCATCTGCATTCCTATTGATTTAGTCTAATTTTTACTTCCTCTTCCCGTTATTTTATCTTCACAGTGACTCCCCCTACTCCTGTCTTTGGAGAAGGTATGTCCACACACACACTCACTCACCACAGTCACTCACCACATCCACACTGCAACTGGAAGTGTAGTGTAGTATTTACCATTTCCTTGTGTGCTCTATTGTATGCAGGTTGCTACGATTTCAACGGGCAGTTTATTCTGGAAGGGGAATGGTGGCACCCAACTCTACCTGAGTACGGCCTGGTTGAATGTGTTAACTGCACTTGCACGGTATATAAAGTAACACTACCATGCCTTGCAATACACTTAGCATATTCTTATAGCAAGTCAAAGAGTAGAATAGATGCAGTAGAGTTTGCAAGAGAGATGCTGAATGTTGATGCTATTCGTCACAGAACTCTGTTCCACGGTGCCAGAGGCTGCCTTGCCCTGAGGTGCCTCCCTGTGGGCCCGACGATCCCATTGAAGATGTCATTGTCTGCTGCCCACGGTGCAGACCCAGTAAGTTCCCTTCCTTTCTCACGACACTCTCAGTAGACAGACGTCTAGTAGTACCACGAAATGCCATGGAGTGTCCCTGGACCTGCTGGTGATTTTCCCAAGTGATCTCATTTCCTAATCCGGTGCACCTTGCCCCTTTTGGTTTTGAGAGTACAGGTTTCCCTATGGACTATAATTATACCTAAAACCAGAAATTATAATAATGAGTCTTGTAGCTAAACAGCGATGAGATGCAAGGCAGGGAAGCAAAGGCAAACAACATGAGTGCTATAATAATATACACACACCCGGACAAACAGACAGAACTGCTGTGGGTGGGATTCAAACCAGCCAGGTTGCAATACAATGTTGCAAGCTACAACTATAACTTTTCCTTCCCTCCCTTCCCACTCTTCCCTCCAGATACCCCAACTCTTAACCCCTTCTGATTCGCCTGTTATCCTGAGTAACGACACGTCAATGAACACAACTACCACCCCAGTAATAACCCCCGACATCACTCCCTGTGAAAGCCCCTTCATCTACAAGATCTACACCCATGTCAATTACGACACTTTGGCCCTTCACAACCTTGAAACGTCCACAGTGGAGATCTATAACTGGACGACTATGGTGGGCTCTGAAGGCCCGGTGGTGGAAAGAGATTTTTTCACACTCCAAAGTGACAGAATTTGTTCAGTTAAGCAACGGAGAATTCATCTTCCAAGGCTGGACAATCGACAGTGAGTTGAATAATAATTATAACAAAACCTCCAAAATTATAAGGAAAACCTTAGGGCACCAGGAAGTGTTCTTTATTCCAGATGAGTATGGGGCAGAACCAAATGTAAAGTTTCCCTCTATACAGGTGTCTTAATTCAGAAGGATCCTTTTTGTGAAGTTTCGCTCTACTTTTTATAGCATGCAGTATTGTAGTGGGAGTGGTGCATGTGACATAGGTAGGAATGTCTTTATAAAGTTGTTTTCTCTCTCATCCTCTCATCTCTCTTTCTTTATTTCTCTCTCTCCCCATCTCCAGGAAGAGTAAGAGGTCTCATGAATAAGCCCGCCAAAAGAGAAAGGATTGAAGCCTGCACTGAAATGTGTGCTAGCATGGTCACCCAAATGCTAAGACCAGTTGAAACACTCAGCGAAACTCTGGTTTGTGGGAAAAGGTAATCCTGAAGTGGCTCCCAGACAGCAGGGTTGCTATATACAGGGACAATTGTTAAAAAATCGTCATTCTCCTCACTTATACATGTTAATTTAGTCTAAATTTTCTTTATGAGAGTATTATTGTATCACAAGATTTCATAGGGCAAGATCTGCCTATTATATATTATTATACTTCCTGCTTTTAAAGCCTGCTCTGTAACATATAATGTGCATTGATATTATATCAGAACCGATCATTATTTTTCTCTATTAGTCTACATATCTTGCTGTACGTCCATTCGCTTTCGGATAACGCCTGACTTAGATCAAAAGGTCCCTGTTTTGTTCGGCAAAGTTTGCTCACATGCGCCGCTGAGCCAACACTCTGCCCTAGATCATGGACTATACTCCTGATATAAGTTCCGGAAGAGCAGTGGACCGATATTGTGAAATAAGGTGGTTGAAATTCCATCAGCCTTGCAGAGTAGACAGTGACCTCCCGCTCGGCAGGAGTGAAAACAATCCCTTTTCTTGCCAAATCAGATGACCTCTTCCCCTTGTGTTTGAGTGCAGAGTAAACTGGTGGCGTTTGAGATATTTTTCCAGTAAACTTAGTCCTCAGTGCCTCGGACAAGCCAGAAGCACTGACGTGTTTCCATGCAGTTTCTTGTACGACTTCGCCGTCCATGTCCAGAGTATCTGTAGCCTCCCCGAGCTTTCCAACGCATTCGTAGTACTTGTCAGAGCCCAGAAAAGCCGACAGCCTCTTGCAGTCTTCGCCCACGGCTATTACCAGCACGCCTGAAGCTCCCTTATCCAGAGTTCCTCCGTGTCCCACCTTGATCTTCGACGAACCGCGCCTTTTCCCAGCGTCTGGGTCAGTTGTTAGAGCCTCTTTCACTAATACTGCCTTTATTATGTTAGTGACTTTAGCAGAAGTAATGCCTACTGGCTTTGCCACAGCAAAGATGCCCCTCATCATCTTCACGAGAGCTTTGGTGTGCTCTAATTAGGAAAAACAGTGAACCAGCCAGGCAGGAAGGCATGTCTGATTTATACGGCCCAACGCTCCCTCCAGGCTTTACCGCAGCTCAGTCCGAAGAAGATGCAACTACAGAGCAAAAGGCTTCTGTTCCAAAGCCTGAACTGCCCACAGAGAGTAAACGTGAAGACACTAGCAGTGGAGTTTACGGGCCTGCTTTACCCCCGGGATTAGCCACAGGCTCTAGTACACGTCCTGGAACCGGAGAGGCAGCATATGGCCCGCTGATCCCTAGTGGCTGTGACGTAATAGAGCCAGACCGACAAAAACAACAAAGTGGTGAGAGAGAGACTGCCCAATGCTCCACTAGTGCAATGTAACATGTGCCCCATGTAAATGATCCACAGCTGTACCCTTGCTGTGTAGGGCAACAGCTGTCTACCACCTGTACCTTTATGTTTTTTCCGTCTGTGAAGGGAGCGATGAGGAGGAAGAGTTCGTTGTGGGGCCCCTACCCATTTCGGTGGAAAACAAGGTGTACGGTATCATATAGATATCATACACCTGTTTTAGACTCGGTGGCCTTGCAGGAAAAGCTTGAGAGAGAGCGGAGGAGAAGAGATGTTGAATCTCGAGCAGAGAAAATGATGGACCATCTATCAGGCAAAGTCCGTAATACCATTAGCTCATATATTTATATACAGTTAGCTAGCTTTGCCAGAGAAAGCTAACCACTAAATCAAGGACAATGTTCATTGACAAAGAGTCCTACTTCACATACTAGGGTGCTTAGTCAACCATAACTATAATTATAAGCAATCGGCAGGGTATGGCATTAGTGGTCACGCATGTTAAGGATAATTCCTATATAGTATGGTCCATGACCCGTGCATTATCACAAGTGGGACTGATCACTGTTGTTTCATCCTCTCACTTTTGCACACGTTTCGTTCTCCCCTGGGAAGACGTTGTCAAATGGGAATTCGTGTACCTCGTATATGGTCATACCCCGAGGCACTGTTTGGCATGCTTCAATTAATTACACCATGCAAGGCTGGTGCTACCTCGTGTATAACTTCCCTTTTTGTAGCATGACTAGACACAATGCTATTTGTTTGTTTAACAGCTTCTCAATGACCAGAATCCGGCCAGGTCTCTGCATACGTGCTCGGCCTTGCGAGAAAGTGTTAATGAACAATTGTGTTTGCCTTTGGTTTTGGAGAAATTGGCATGAAATACTGCCTCGGAATGATCGTGAGAATGATCTGTTGGTTATAATACACACACCTCGGTTGACCGACTGCAAAGAATGGTGAATACAAAGCCTCTATGTATCAAAGAACGCACTGCTTCTCATTGACTTGCATCAGTAGCGATACAGTGGAGAACGGTATGCAGTGGTACCTGGATAGTGTTAACATCAGGGGGCCATTAAAAGGGTTCGGTTTCATAGTAGCTTGGGGATATAAACACGGTTCATATTAAGGAGATACATACTGTTCATTGTTTTACGGTGTTTGTATTAAGGTTCCAGTGCATACTATTGTCCTAATAAGTGTGTCCTATAGGACAATAAAGAGTCAGAGGGTCCGACAAGAGAAGCGTGGATGACAGAGTTACCACCAGAAGTCAAGGCATTCGGTAAAGCACTCTATACTGCTGAGATAACTGGCTAGGTAAAACATTGCTTCAAAGGCAGTAGCAGTACCTGATTGCTAGAAATCCAAAGCCAGCTGAGCTTTGTGTTCACTGTTGAAACAGTCAGCAGAAAAAGCTAAGACTTTTCTTTCTTTCAGGACTTGGGGCAAGAAAATTTCGAACGAGGGATGTCAAACTGGGAGACAGGTCAGTGTGGACTGATACCCCAGCGGACAGACTCAGAAAACAGCAGGTCATAATCACTTCCTTCATATAGCTACCGTGTAGCGTGAATTACAAATTATTGTGGGCATAGACATTGACCCTGCATAGTATTTCACAGGCACTCAGCCTATATATCTATGAGGATGTTTATGATAGTACGTTTTGTAGGCGTATCAATTACATGATATCATGTGCAGTATTAGAGTTAACCCCTGCTCTAATTGCAATATTATCAAGCATGTAGGCATATCTATTTCAACAAAATATGTTTAGCTAATTAACCACTATTGGGGGCCTATATTATATCCAAAATGATACGTAGGAATTTGCTGAGGGTAAAGTGAAAAGGGAGAAAAAAGAAGACACTACTCCAAAGTTTGTGTCTGAAAGAGATGAAAAGCTGGCAGCAAAAGTTGAAGATTATAATGTAAGCCTCTTGACAAGTTTTATTATAAGTTAAAATTGATCTCTGTGAATAGAAATCGTGCCGGTCAGAATCCCTGGTGGAGATGCACAGAAAGAGAAGAGCAGTGAGTTCAACGGGGTCATGTACTAGTCACATGACATCATAGTGGGATAATGTGCTTATCACATGGTGTCATGTGACCAACACACTATCATTGGACTCTCTCATCCAGGAACAGAATGAGGAGTCAAAAGGTTTAAGGCGCCCGTTCGATCGCGAGGTGGACTTGAAACCCCCACAGAGCATTGTGACTCCGGCCAAACGACAGGCACTCATGAAGGACTCAGCTTCGTCCCTCAAAAACAAATTTTCGCACGGCTCTCAGAGATTCTTATAAAAATTTCCCTGTGCCTTACCAACATTTTAAACAACCTACATGTATATATAATGATCAGCTTTGTCCCTGAAAAACAAGTTATTGCACAGCTCTCAGAGATTCTTATAAAAAATTTCGTTGTGCCTTAACAAAATCAATTATTTTAAACAAGAGACACCTAAATTTATGATTGTAGCTGAGAAAGTTTTGAGTGAGACCTATTTGCTGGTTGTACTGAAGAATGATGCAGATTTGACAGTTCTGTGAACAGGGAAGGCCGTGTGTGGATTGAGCGGGAGACGAGAGAGAGAGTTGAAAAGCGAGAGTAGTTGCGCTGCGTGGTGAGTCGGGATAAGAAACTTGACTCCCGCCCTGTCTGAAGCCTGATCAGCTTCTTCTAATTCAGGGTCACTCCAATCAAGCGTCGGTGAAGCTGCTAGTTGAGCTACACCAATAGATTCTGCGCTGCTGCGTTTTTCACAGCTCTGCCGTAGAAAGTATTCCACTTTGTGAAAACGTGGCATCTCCGTCGGCTGCGTGGAATTAGCGACGATTTCAATTTCGACTTCGTCCGGATTGCTAGCCCCGGAGTCTCGCTCATTGAGGCTGTGGTCACACACTGAAAACGTCTGCTGGAAGGTGTTTTTCGTCGAATCGAGAAGATAGATCCTCTCGTGTGTGAGCAGTAGCAGTGCTGGGTTTGTCGTACCATTTGGTGTAGTGTACCTGACTGGTGTGCTGAGCAATAGAGGAACATCTCCACCTAGTTTTCTGTGTGCAGGTTAGAATACAACTTTACCCTAAATCCTGGAAACTTAGGGATAGGAAGGGAGACAAGGTAGGTATATTCTAGCACACACTTGTGCATGAAGTAACTCAGGCTGTTTCCTCCCAAAATAGGTTACTGTATATGTACTAGCACACTTACATGGCGCAGGCAGTAGAGCTGCACTGAAGGCTGATTCTTGTCACTGATCCGGTGAAAGACTGTACTACGACTGGCTTGTGAGAGAGTCTCTTTGCCAGCCCTGTCCCGTGCATCAGACCTTGCCCGGTCTGTGAGACTAACTCCATTACACCTCCGACCGGCTTGGTGACAGCCCCGAGTAAACCCTTCCCAACTCCTTTCAAGATGCTCTGAGCAGCCACTGCTGGGCTCACGGGACCTTCAATCTGATGGTAGCTCTGCATCGGTTGTTCCACTATGCCAGCCACGGCACTCATGAGACTCAGCCCAAGGCTGGATGCACCGGACACCAGACCTCGCGTGAAGTGAGTTGCAGGTCTCTGCTGCCTCTGTTGAGTCTGGTAGGACACATGGTGTGGGTCAAGGGACAAGCGCTCCATGTTGTGAGAAATACTAGACGCCATACTGGTGACGGAGCCAAGTGCACCAGACGAGAAGTGTTGGATGAAAGACATTGTGCCCTGTCCAATACCGAGCAAGAACCAGGTGGGGCTTCTAGTGAGGCCTTGGTAAGGCAGGGTCACCAGATCTCTCAGACCACGACCCACATTTTGGATGAAAGTTCCCGGGCTCCCAATCAGCTCCAGGGACCCCAAAAGCCATCCTATGTGAGCAATCGTGGACATGACATAGCGAGAGGCAACCGTCTGCGAAACTTCAGTCCAGTTGGAGTAGATGTTTCGCAGTTCATAGCGGGAGAAACGGAACGGACTGTCGTTGCAAGACAAGAGGACACGCAGAGAGATCCGGGCATTGAGGTAGAAAGCGGCAGACTCAATCACCAGCTTTGTCACAGCCAGTGGAATGACATCTCTTTCTGCCTCGGCTAAAACCAATTTAGGAGTGACAGTACTTCCTTGTCGGTTCTTTCTCCCAGGTAATGGAGTGCGCAGTACACCTGGGTTACTATAGGATGCGGCCACACATTTCAATCTGTTCAGAAGCTCGTCTTCGAGTTGGAGGGTCAGTGGCCGTAGTGAAATGCGGATCAACTCGATCAGGTTTGGGCTGTGAGGACTGTAGTGGACCGAGAGACTGGCCAATGGAGTGGGCTCAGAGTCGATCAAGCTGGCTCGCCGGTGGTGGTGAGCTCTGGGTATCACAGTAACTGCAAAGTCACCGCCGTCTCTCTCCATCATGTTGTTGATGTGAAACGAATCAACAGTGAGCTCCAAGGAACTTCCGCCACTTCCCACACCATTACTGAACTGCAAAGATGCTCCGTCAACGATTACTTGGAGAATCTCCTGAATCAATTCAAAGTCTTCTGTGGTTTCATCATCTATACAGATGACCATTTGTTCCAGCCTCAAGTCTATTGCCATCTCAACCTTCACACTGCTTATGGGGGAGTCAACTTCTGTAGTGCTGGAGATTGGAAGAAACGATGCTGCTGGTCCAGTAGGAAGCAGAGAGAGATGAAGAGTAGTGCCTCTTTTGTGGGTCGATACGAGCATACTGTCTCCTTCAGGGATAGAGATAACACGGTCGCTTCCACTAGACAGGTAAAAAGGGTCACTCCACTCCATTTCAGTACCTTCATCTTCTGCATCAAGCTGCGTGCGATCGAGTCGAAATTTTACCGCCACTCGCGCCAGTTTTTCCTTGGTTTGGTTGACCGCTTTGCTGTGTGTCACTTCTTCGTCAAACACAATGGGGTACTGCTTGGCGTATGTTGGCGGCTCGTATGAAACCTCTTGTGCTGGGGGGAGCTTTTGTGGGAAGCTGTGGACACCTCCAGTGCTTTCTTCGACAATCTCCAAATGCTGCTGAGTGTGGTTCTGTATGAGAAGCCGAGGAGAAGGATCTATAGACGCCACTATGTAGATTGTGTTTGAATGTTCGTGCATTGTCAAGACTGCCTTCAAGTACATCTCATTTGAAGTCGGTAGGGCAAAGGAATGGCGGACGAAATCAGACGAAAGTGGCAAAGACCACCTCCTATCTTCGCAGGAAGTTCTCAGCGAAAGAGCCTGCACGGTTTCTCCCGTGCCTTCCATTTCTATGTGCTCACAGAATGGCAATGGCATTGAGGTTTGAGAAGGGGCATGTTCTATCACTAAAGGCGTATGGAGGCCTGTCTGGGCTCTATGCGTAACGGGATGGAAGAGAGAAGCAGAAACGTGAAGATCGTATGGGGTGCTGTTGTGAAAAACATAGGTCGGAGTGATGCTCAGGATTGCCATGGCACCTTTGAATCTCCGGGTTAGCATTAGGTTTCCAAACACACCAAAATCTTCTTTGCTTTCACTTTCAGTTAGTATGACATTGGTTGGCTTGTTTTCCTCTTTCTCTTTCTCTTTATCCGGCTGGGCAATTAGTGCCTGGGAGACTAGGGTTTTACCCTCCCATTCAGTAAGCAAATGAAACTGGAGAAACAAACAATTTCAGAACTGACAAAAAATAGACGTTGTAGCTACATACCTTATTCTGAGGCAGGAGGCTAACATTATTTGGGTCTAAGGTAGACACAATTTCTTTCACCCCTCTCCCCCTTCATTCGTTAGCTCTTCGAGTGAATCTGTGTTTTCTGTGACACTTGTAAGGAGTTGAAGTGTGACGGGTGAGCGATTGATCACGAGCACGTCTGGCAGAAGATGGAGGGCGATTGTGTTGAACGGGTCCCGTTCCAGAACGGCATGGAGACAGCTTTGAGACCCAGCAACTGATGGAAGCATCACTTTCATACTGTTACCCAACGTTACACCCGACTGACCAAACCTGAAAATTAAAAACGATATGCTATACCGTGTATATATACAACACTTTCTCTTTTATGGACCTACTGTGCTTCATCATCAGCATCATCATATGGCCAGTCCCTCAGTTTCTTCTCCTCATCTTGCTTCCCTCCCACCTCTTGCTCAGAAAAGGGGAGATGGACAAGGAGGAAAGTGGACAGTGATACTGTTGGTTCTGACACAGCTTCACAGCCACTGAAAAGAGCGAAAGAACATAATCCACTCAATAAAACTATGAAGTACTGACTATACAGGACTCTCAGAATAAAGGACACCTATCTATAATTAGAACGAATTTTTGGCGAGCAAACATAAGTAGTTCGATTTTTCCTTGCGTAATGTATGTGCAGTGCATGTAAATAAAAGTCTGCATTAGGACAACTCGGTAGACTCGCTTTGCTCGCCACTAAAGGACACTGTGGTTCTGCCCAAAACTACTCCCTCTGAATAAAAGACACTTTCAATGTCCTCAAGACGTCTCTTAATCCGAGGTTGCAATGATTACCTTCGTCTGAAACTCAGGTGATACCAAGTACTGGCGTGAAGCCCGCACAGTACCGTTCTCTCTCCCTCCCCACTCAACACACACTCCGGTAGTGGGGTGGGGGCGGAGCCAGAGGAATTGGTCTCCGTAGCAACCATTGTGAGGTCAAAGGGCAGATGGTTGCAGATGGCAAAAAGTGGAGAGAAGGTTATCTGTGATATGAATGAATGACGTAACTTAGCAAAATAGAAAAAATAATACAGCAGCATGTATACCTGACTCTCCTTTCTCGAGGTATGCAAAGACTTGATATTGTACCAGAGATTAACCCTTTGTCCACTGGAATACTCAATCTGAGACCAACATAGAAAGTACCACTAAGAGGAAGGGACAGAGTATGTGAGTAGTGGTCAGGTAAAATTATACAGTGAGTGAATAAGTAGTGAAATAGACAGACCACAGTACAGCAGTGGTGATGTAAAGGGGTGAATAAGTCCAAAAACAACCTCAGTACAAGTGTATATTATAGTGATCACCAAATGGAAATAGGAGACTTTCAGACAAGTTCAGGGGCAGGTCACAAGTGATGAGTTTGTCTTATCTGCTGCATGAGTTTAGGAGGAACCCACCTCGGTGAGTAGCTGTGGCTTGCTCCATTCGTCAGTAGTGGAGTGAATAGGGTACACCTCAGACCAGCCGTTCGACTGAGGAGACCTCACTCTCACTCCAGAGAGCTGACTTTCAGGGACAACCACAGATGGCAAGCTCAACTTGGGAGGCAAGAGAAGGGTTTCCCGAGGTTCAAAAGGTGTTTCTCTGTCGCTGGTAGTGTCTTGGTCGAGAGTCGAGATGAGGGAGAGGTGGAGAGGGAAAGGAAGTGCCGAAGAAAACGTCCAGTTACCAGTGAGTGTAACCTGAACAGAAATTTGTGGAATTAGGCAGAAGCAAATTTGAGGTACCATACTCGGTAATTTCTGTGCGCTATAAAATTTCTCAACTTTCATTTCTCGTCTTGTAACTACAATCGCTGATTATTAATTACATCATGTGTGCATCCTTGAAGGCACTGTTACTCAATGTGCGTTAATCACGTAAAGCGCGCATGAGTGTGTGCATACCTGTGCAATTGTGTGTGTGATTACCGCAGGTGTACCACGCTAACTTTTATTGACAGCAAAATGGGATGGCCTTGGGAAATACTGTATATCTATAGCAGTTTTTCAAAGGTATATAGCCTTGAGGCTGGCTGAAACAAGCTACAAGTGTAGAAAAACGATGGGGGGTTATTACATTACCTTTCTCTGTAAGCCTCCAATGTTAGCCACATGTATATGAACCAGTGCCGTGTGTCTTCCGATGTACACTTCAATTGATTGTGCGCCTTCTTTGGATATTGAGAATGGCTTAGTCCATCTCCACACACCACCAGTCACAATACAGAGGTGAAGGCACTGGGTAGGCAGCACAGGTAGGATGTACAGTTAAAAAAGACCTTCCAAATAAAGAACACCTCTAACAAAGGCCACTTGGTTTTGCATTACTCCCAAATAAGGGTTGCAGTGATCCCAAAGGTGTCCCTTATTATTTTAGGGTGTCATTGTAAAAAAGGAAATGAGAAGGTGAACACATACTTGCGGTGTTATCTTCGTATTTCTCCAACTGTAACCAATGCATTGTCGACTCAGCAATGCCGTGACTTCGTCAGTTGATACCTGAATTACATCATGATGACATCACCCAAAATTTCACAGTTGACCACGGAATATTATAGCTATACCTGTCCGAAATGAAGGTCTTGGAGAGTGTTGTTACACAATATGAAATGGTTTAGAATAATTGCCGACTTTTCTACCGCCATTCCTCCATCCTCTCCCTCCTTCTCCATGGTCCACGTGTGAAGAGAGAGAGAGGTGGTATGGAGAAGACCCTGGGATAACCTCAGCACTGCCGGGCTGCACTTCAGGCTGGCATCATAGAGCATGCAACCCTCGTTCCCAGTTCTAGAAGGCCAAGACCCTGGTTCAACCTGCAGAGAAAGATCTTTCTATAGTGTTCCAGAAAGTTTAAGTTTGATATAGTGGACCCATGTTTTGTTAATGCTGACCTAATTTTTTTTACCACTTTTGACGTTGCTGTGTTTGCTATGCCTGGTGTGCTTGATACTGTCCTGCCAATGTTCAGCTTCATCAATGGAGATATACATAATACAATACTTCACACAGCACAGGCATAGCAGGCACAGCATAGGGGTGTACTCGGGAAAAGCTTTAAAACTTGCAAAGTGAACACTGATGATTTTTCTAAGACCTTTTGTAAGGGTATTTTTCTGTCCAGATGGACGTGGAGATGTGTTGGATGAAGTGCCACTCTCCAAGACAAGTCCAGAAAGTCCAGAAATTCAATGGACAATTGTCCATCACCCTATCGCGAACAGAGAAGGAAGAAGAGCAAAGATGACAAAAAGGCGTTAAGAGAGGGAAGAATGGCTTACCTGAAAGGTTGTGTCAGTACTTCTTGTCTGTTTCAGATGACAGGTCAAGTGCTCTATGTGCAGTCTCACCAGCTCCTGAGGGCCTTTGGTTAGCTGAACCACTTCATACTCACCATAGCGCCCTACATCATGTGGCGTTTCAAAACAGAGCATAAGAGCCACACATTGAATGTATATACCTGGATAAGGGGGTGAGTTGTGCACAAGTGTTGCCTGCAATTTGTGGCAGGTGAGGCTGAGGTCCAAGACCGGTACCAGGCTGGGACTGAAGTACGAGTCAACGCATGTCCCCCCAGCCAGCAGGACTGGGGATATTATGGCAGCAATAGGCACCGGAGATCCCTCCCCGTCAACCACGTCTGAACTACTGCGATTGAAAGAAATAGAGTTTGAGAGAAAAGAAGACACCATCATAGTCCCACGTCCATCTAGGTACTATGCAGTACCATATACTTAGTGGGATTTGGACATAAATTGAAGAAATGGTAATGATATGGAGACATCTATAAGTTTTATACCTGCTGACAAATCTCACTCCCTCCTCCTCATCCTCCCACTCAACCTCAACAATTGCTATCCTCCACTTGCGAGATCCAACCACACGAGGTACTATGACCTCAGTGGGTGTGGTCTCAGTGAGACGAAATTCTTGAAGTACCGAGAAAATTCCCCGATCCTCATCCCAGTAATCAAGTGTACACCCAACCTGGGAATGGAAGTATAAAAGTATGAAGTATGGCAGTATGGATTTTTGTAAACCTCAATGTCGATAGGGGCATCGGTCTCCGAAGTGAAACTGAAAGGGACTGGGAGGATGGCGAGTTTTGTGATCGCCCGTGGCTCGTGATAGTGCCACATCATGAACGTGGAGCCATCTTGTTCCCCGAGTGAGAAAAACACTTCTCCCGGTTGTGGCGAGTACCCCACTGCCACTGCCGTGAGAAAAGGGTTAAATATATCACGTGACTCTCATGTGGGTCTCACCATCTGAATCTTTGACAAAAGTGAAGTCTCCTGCCCTCAAGTCATCGTGGAAACGAACCATCTTCTCTTCCTTCTTTATCACCGGCTCAGTCTCACCAGTCAGAGTATCACCTTCCTAAAATCGATACGGTCTGTGTTATGCTAGTAAAAATGACCATATTATACCTGAGATGCAAATATATTGGTTATAGTCTGCAGTACTCTGCTAGCCAAGTCCAACACTTCTCGGCTGAGCTTCAAATCCAAAAGTCCACACGACAGATTAGCCGTCAAATACCCTCTGCAATTACAAAAGAACATATTTGAAGCATCGTCATTAACGGCTCCTGGGCCAAGGGGATTATATGAAGAGTACTTACAAGTCAAGAGGGGAGGAAGGAGTGTGTTGGATAAGGAAGCAGTTGAGTTGTGTGGGTAAGACGACAGGATTAGTTGAGTAGCTCATGATGCTCAGCAGCTGAAGACCACAGACATGAAGATCACCTGTAACAGAAGTCTGCTGCATAGCAACGCCTGTGAAGAACAAAGACAGATAAGGCACAGATAGCTGGAAACATTATGGAGGAGTATGATGAAGTCTGTACCAGAGATATTGGGATAGGCTAAGTCCAAATGATCCCACGCCAAAATAAATCCTTCTTCGGCTACAGTTGGCTCTGCCTCCATCTCCTCACCAATGCTCGCACACAATTCTCTGTCATTGTCCCCATCAGCAAGATCCATGCAGCGTGTGGAGATTTGGAACTCAACTAATACTTGCATAACTTTCAGTTTCACTTGCACAGAATTGCCAGTGCTGTCAACAGCATCACTAAATGCAGAGGGTGTCGGATTATTCTTCTCGCGCTGCAGTTCCTGGGTTTCCATCTCATCTTTGGTCACACTTTCTTCTGAACTTTTGGTGTCCTCTGTGGCAGTTGGGGCGTTCAATGACTTCGTTCCATGCTGACTCTCAATAGATTTGAGAATGGGATCACTGAATTCTGAGAGTTTTGTGATCAGTTTTGGAGAAAGTGTTAGCTTCACTGGTCGACTTATGTCGACCGTCAGTGCTGGGGGTTTATGCAGGTGGACATCGATTGCTATGGCAAACACACTCGGGGGGATTTCCCTCATGTGTTGAGAATGACCTCGCCGTGTTTCCAAGAGTGGGCGGTCCATTAGAGATGAAGTCATTCCAGCATCAACCAAATCTGAATAACCTATTGAAAAAAATACAGTTTAGTAGGATTTGGAAATTAAAAAAACAAAGATGGCTTGGATTCACACAATTATTTGACTGAGAAAACCTACCCAAACATAAGAATTTTCTACCTCCAAATTTCCCACTAAACTTACTGCAAACAATATCGTCGCTTCCACTATAACCCACAGACATATTGAAGCATGAGCCCTCCAGAAGATACCCTCCGCTGGTAGTTGTGGTCACTCCACAGATAATATTGAACAGTTGCAATTGAGCCAGAGGGACCACTGAGGAGTCCAGTCCGTGGAGAGTTGGGAACACACTCTCTGAACTCTCAGATGCAGAATCCACGAAATTCTCCGCTTCTTCCCCAGTGGGTGAGTGGGAGGAGACTAAAGTTAGTCTGACTGTGGTTCCAGACACCAAGCCCTTGAAGGGGACGCTAGGATGTCGAGTCTTACTGCTTTCCACTGCAGCTGAGGGATGAGAGGGTGTGGTCACGGGTGTGGTTGGCATTTTGGGCGACATTGACGAACGAGTGGGTGTGGCCAACGATACTGTGTTAGTCCGAAGAATAGTTGAAATACAGTCAACCTTTTCAGGGGAGAACCCAATAATTTCAAAGAGGGCGTATATGTGTGTACATACATACCTGTTCTGGTCCAAGCATTAGATCAAGATCAGTTCTGAAGTTCACTTCAAGACAATGACCACAAGCCAGTATGGCAGGCTGAAAGACAAAACACTAAATCATAGACACCCAAGAAAAATGTGCTACAGCTATATTGACCTTATGTGTTGTGCCAACTACAGTGGGTCTCCAGTACAGAGCCGGAGTATAAATCATCCTTATGTCACTACTGCCAGCATACAACAACACCTGGGCACTGGGTAAGTTTTGAATTGTACACCAGTTTTAGCATGTGCACATACACTTGTATACCTCCCTCCTTCTTGTCTCTGTATCCCCCAGACTGACATCGCTAGAAGATCCAGTTGGTACGCAGGCAACGGAGGCTGCTTCTTCTCACTGGAGAGATGTGCCAGCCTCCGAAAGGCACTGGCCGAGATGACATATCTCACATCAGTCGTGGGGTAGTCCAGCGAGTGGGAGACGGTCACACAACCGACGTTGCAGAGAATAGAGTTGGAGTAGTCGGAGGATGGCAGGACCAAACGGCAGCACTCGACCGTTGTTTCAACGGCTGGCCAGGAACCAATGTCTGCAGGATCGTGTGGGGTAGCCACCTGCACACAAAACCATACTATCTTAAGAGGCAGTGAGGGGAGCAACAGAATTATATCAAGTATGCTGTACCTCAACTTGCCCTACTTCCTTCTGTCTGCTAAGCTGCAAGGAGCCTAAAACAGACGAAACCATGTCAACAACTGGCAACCAGACAACCGCCTCGAATGACTGAATTTTCAGTTTCAATCCAGCTGCTCGGTGCACGGACTGGCGAGGAATGTTTAGCTCCAGGGTTATGAAATTTCTGAAAGAGTCACTTGAGACTGTGTGTCCTTGAGGCAAATGTATGGCTGTGTTGAAAGAACCAAGCATCAGAGCGTACACCTCACAGGTACTGTACAGTATGTCCTTACCTGCTGATGAAGAATGAATAAGGATTTCTGAGAGTTCGGCTGGCAAAGCAGTCCCTTTTGAACTGAGAATCTTCTCACTCGAAAGGTAAGGGATCCACACTCCACCACTTCTGCCTCCTCCTTTACCCCCAGTGGATGCAAAGTGACCGCAGTTTCTCCTGTGGAGATTGGCGCCAACAGCTAAGACTTTGACTATGAGATCAGTACACTTCTCCTGCACATCAAACTGCACTGACACTCCATCGACCTCAATAGAAAACTTGGCCATTTGAGACTCTTCCTCTGTAAAATCTCTGTCTCTTCCACCATCTTTCCTCGCCGTAGACCCCTCAGTTTGCAAACCCGTCGGTAACGGATATGTAATAGGCCCCACTATTTCTACTGTCGGGCTTGTGAGAGGCGTCATATAAGACCCAGTACTGCTAGTCTTAGACTGGGCAGACACTGAATGTCTCTCAACAGAACTACTGGTAGTAGTAGGACGTGGGTTTGGTGGGAGTGGAGCATAAATGGTGAGGGTGGCTTTGGAGACTATTGCCTGAATCCAAAGAGTGGAGAAGCCATGATTTGTATAGAGGGAGGAGGTAGAGGACGCATTGCCCAGCGATGTGTGGGTGGGGAGGGTGGTTATGGTTGCTGTGGTGATGGTGGAGAGTGCCGGGGAGGAAAGGTGGGAGGGATGACGGTGGGGAGTTGGGAGAGGATCTTCAGAAGAATGAACACCAGAATCGTCACTCCTTTCCGGAACAGGTGGGGCCAACAGCGACGAGAGAGTGCCCACAACTTGAGATACACACCCGCTTAGTAATTCTCCCTACGAGAAAGCAAATTGTTCAGTATTACTTCAACTACGGACCTACACATACGTACTTCCTTCTTTGAGAGAGAAACCGCCACCAAGTCTGTGTGGACGGTCACACCGGTACCTCCCTGTTGATCAGCCAGAGAGATGGCTACTGAAAGAGGCTCCAAAATGTAGAACGGAGTAGTGCCTTCTCTAAACGCAATGATCGATGTGTGCCGTAGGGTGCAATCCCATGGAAAGGTGCTTGTAGATGAGGCTCTTGGTACCGGTTCTTCGAGCACATGGCTCTTAGCTGATCTGTGGGTAAGATGGCAATACACCGGCAGTTGTAATGGGGTTAAACAGATTCTACATGTTGTGAACAAATAGTGGGCAAGCTATGTAGATGATGTAGATACATAAAGGGCTGGGAGCATATGGCACACACATAAGGGTGCTGAGGCCTCTAACATTAGTGAGAGCTGAGGTAGGGACAACAGGAGAGCTTCCATTGAGTCATTCTCACGTAGCGCAGGCAGCACAGGGAACTCCGGAACTTCAGTTGACATCAACCCTACAGGTAAGAAAGATTAAACATATTGTTTCCGTATCAACTTCTATACGTACCTTCCTCCAGAGGTTTTGCCAGAATAACTATCAGTACAGGTTGAATGTCCACCTATAGATTTGAGAGATCTTTCAAGACGGCATTCACATGTTGAAGTGGGTGGGTACCTTTGTGGCATAAGATTTGAGCTTAGCAATGAAATCTCCTTCACCACTAGAAGCTTCAGCTGATGCATCAGATGTGTGTATGACGTCTGTGGCTGTATCTTCACTGTGAACAGATGGATCAGTTCCAGGCTCTCTTGCCATCTGCTGCGATGGCTCCTTCACATGGTCGCTTTTCGGTAGCTCTCTTCCGATCAGAGAAGGGATGCACTTCACAAAGTCTAACACTGTTGAGTCTGCACAAAGTGCTAAGCCACCTAGTGATAGCTGTAGTGTGGGGTAGCTCTCATCTGTAGGTATATAGAAGTATTAAGCTTGATAACGTGAAAAACCGCTTGGAAAGCTTACCTGAAGTGTCTTTATGGGGCAAAGCGGTGAAAAATTCAAGCATTCTACTAGTGCTTCCATCGCCTTGCTCATAACTATTGGTAGAAGTGTAGGCATCAGTTTTATTCCATTGAACTGTCGAGATTGGCCCATAAACCACAGGGATCGCGTGGCACAACCTACCCTTTGTACTGTCGCAAAGCAGCACCACGCAAAACGAGTCGACAGTCGCAGAAAGAAAAGTGTACGATACCATAACCGATTTAGTGAGCTCAACTTCCTTGACTGAAATGTGGAGATGACCCCCTGAGATTTCCGGGCTGGAAAGACACTTAGTTTTTGTTTTCGGACGCCCAGGGACAAACGGTCCATTATACCAGGATGACACTATAAAACTACTCCTTGAAACCTGTTCTGCTGAAGCTACACATGAAATTTCCTCCACGTGCAGCTGAAGATAAGAAGAGTCGTTTTCTTTGATAACTTTCCCATCTCCGGTTGTTTTAGAGTGGCTATAAATTTCAAGTTTGGGGGCGCTAACAATCCTTTTCAATTCGGATTGCTTTGGACTAAGACTGAACTCTCCACCGTCTGCTATTTCTAGCTGGGAGAGAGCAACTCTCATCTGGCTTCTTTGGGGGGTTTCAAGGCTAGCATTGCCACTGTACATGGCTGAGGTTATGGAAACAGTTGAGCGAGCGAGGGAAAGGGTGAGTGTGGGTAGAGCGTGGGAGGGGGGAGGCAGAGGGAGGGATTGAATTTTCAAGGGTGGCTTCGATTTTGTGTGCTCATTTGATGAAGAAGAGAAAGAAGCTAAGTAGTGGGTGTTTGATACCACAACTGCTCTACCACCAGCTGAGGTTATCTTGAAAGAAGTTTCAGCTTTGGGGTCTCCCAGAACAACCATACCTGCAAAAAAGCATATTTCACCCATCAAAAAACACCGAGGGATAGTAGGTTACCTTCTGTGAAGAGTGGACAAGCCTTGACTGATTCCCCATAGGCTGAAGTGAAGTGACTGACTCTGTGGAGAGTGTCTGGACTGAGCAAAAAGTCAATTTCTCCGACCTGAAGTCTCTCCTCGCAGACCTCACAAGGGTGGGCGGGGCCCACATCATAGTATTCGTAGGTGAACCAAACGGCAGAGAACTCTGGTCTGGGGGCCAGCAGAAGCTCTGGAGTGGGAAGCAGCAGCTGAAGATTTGAAGAGGCTGCTCCCTGTTTTTCAGGGTCAAAGAGAGAGCCAGTAATTACTAGCTCTGTGTCGCATGAGGTTGTGTCTCCAAGTGAAAACACTGACACCTACACGGAAGCAATAAGCAATTTGTAAACCTTCGGTATAATATACATGCTTTTGCACATTATACCAATACCTTTTCGTGAGAATCTGAACTAGGCTTCCATGAAGCAGGAATGGCATCTGAACAAGAACAGAAGCCAGTTGCCCAAGCTTCTATGGCCATGATACCCAGAGAGACAGTGAAGAGCTGTGTAGAGGTTACGCTGTCGACCTGCGTGCTGCATCCTGAGAACACAACACTCAGAACAGTCCTGGAACGGGATCTGGGAGATGAGAACACAGGAACACGTCCGTGATGAGTAACCTGCAGGAACAATATAGAAGACACATGATGCATATAAAGTGCTCTCTGAATGTGTCTTTTACTTTCAGATTGACTGTGATAGATTTGGCCATTATGGAAAAGGTTGACAATTCGGCCAGAGGCTGAGAGTCTTTGTTCTCCTCTCCTCCCTTTTCTCCACCATCTGCCTCGTCTGTGGCTACAAAAGACCACATCCAGCTGCCCCATCCCCCACCTCCCTCTCTCCCTCCTTCCCCTGCCTCCATCTGCACGTCTTCCACTTTCCCACCAAGTAGAACGTCCTCATACGAAGACATTACATCTGGCAGTGTGGACCCATCTGCTTCGGATGCTGGACTTAACCCAATCTGTTGAGAAAACTTGCTCTTCATAAAACCGTCGTCCCTCCCCTTTAGTCTCTTCCCGTTGTAGTACATAGCCAGAAGCCAGTCGGTCAGATGAAAGAAGAGGGAAAATTGATTCTCATCGGCATGAAACACAAGTGAGTCAAAGAGAATGCAAGTGTATTTCTTGAAAAATTTCTTCCCTCGATACTGTGATTGCATTCGGCACGAGAAACTGCACTTTCTGACGAACGGATCCTTTAGTGCTTCCATGCGTGCCCTGTCGCTGTCAATTGGCTGAACATGGACGACCATATCAGAAATTTCTAGAACCTTGTTCAGAGAGTAATCTCCGTCACAGTAATCAGTACAGACATAGCTAGGCATCCACTGCTCGTCTGCCATGCCAAACTTGAGCGACTGAATATTGAACGACATCATCAGGTCACATTCCTCCTCGATAACCTTGACGACGAGGTTCTGAACGTGAAACGTCAGATTGTTGAGTATGCGATTTGTGTAGCCTTGCAGATATCCCTGCTGCATTTGGTCTGCATTTTCCTTGGGGGCATCTTCGCTGCTGATGGATGCTGTGGCCTCGTCGGATTGTGGAGCATCGGGATGGTCATGGTTTCTGGTTGCTGGGGTGTTGAGTCGAATAGGCTTCAATTTGATGACGATTTCGACATCTTTTATTTCGGCCTCCACAGGTTTAGACAGAATGGCGTTCCACGGAATGTGTAGGACCAGCTCTCGAATTCGACCGCTCTTTATCTCAAGAGGGTACCTCAGTTCTTGCTCTAGGACGTCAAGTCTTAGCTCCAGGTTCCTCAAAACCACGTCACCACCCCAGAAAGAAACTTGGAGATCCGATGGCTTGATGTTTTTAACGTATTTGTTGATGTAGCCCATCAGCATGGGCGTAATATAGCTCTCAAGCATGTTCACGTACCTTTTCCACTGAGATTATGGTGAGGGCATCCCTTGTTTGAGTGCTACAACACGATCAGTGAACAGCGACTGTCATGACCTTTGACCTAGTCAAAAGGGAAAATCCCATGGCCGTTTTGTAGTAGGTGTGGTCGCGCAATGCGCAGCGATGGAAATGTCGTTACTGCGCATGTGTAAAAAGCACGTGGTTTCCGGCCGGCCGCTGATTGGACGAAATTCAATGCATTACATCACTCGCTAATCGGCGACTATAAAAGCACGAGCTGCGGCTCTTTGTTCCGGCTTGGCTCTTTGGAGCTGAAGTGGCTTGAGAAATACCGAGGAGAAGGGTTCTCTCAGGCCGCCATCGCTGAAGACGAGTTCTTCTGCCGCGGAAAGGACGCGGGAGGTCGGGTCGCACGTTGAGCAAAGCCTTACGGCACCGTGAAACGTTTTCTCGGCCGTCGGCCCACGTTCGACGCCCCTAACCTGTGAACAAAATGGCGGCGCCAGAAAACTCCTCGGCCCCTCTGAGGCCGGTGAAGCTGATCCAGTTTGGGATCCTCAGTCCTGAGGAGATAGTGAGTGGGGAGTGTTGTACCATACATTCCTCACTGTCCGTTTTTCACGTTCAATTCGCCACCAAAACCCACAGAAACGGATGTCTGTCACTGTGCCTGAAGGCATCCGGTATCCCTATACCATGGAAGGGGGTCGGCCAAAAATTGGGGGTCTCATGGACCCCCGACAGGGGGTAATTGACAGGGCTTCCAAGTGCAGGACTTGTGCTGGAAACATGTCGACTTGCCCCGGGCACTTTGGCCACATTGAACTCGCCAAACCTGTTTTTCACGTCGGGTACCTGGCAAAGATTGTCAAGATCCTGAGATGTGTGTGCTACTATTGTTCGCGGCTCCTCATTGATCCGGTATAGACCATACCCCTATAATAGTAACATTTAAAAATAGTACGGAATGCAATGATGTAATCCAGCAAGAATGCCAGCACATTCCATTCTATTCATGGTTTGTGTACACACACGCCTACATGGTGTCCATGCACAACAGAGTGACGAGAAGGTGAAGGATATTCTGGCAAAGTCGAAAAGCCACCCACGCCATAGACTACAGTACATCTATGATCTTGCCAAGACAAAGACAGTGTGCGAAGGGGGAGACAGCATGGACTCCAAATTCAACCACACAACTGATCTGGAAGAACCGAAATCGGTGAGAGATTGATTAAAGTTGAGGGTTGCCCTGTTTTTGTTTATATGGTATGCTGCAAACAGATTGACCATGTACGGTAATGAAAGAGTTTCCGTCTACTTTGAGACTTAAGTTTACAACGTAGCATAGTGAACAATTATGTGTGTTCGATGCAAGCACGTTTAAGTGCAGCTACTTACTGTATCGTTTTTATTATGCCCTAGTTTTACATTTTTAGAGGAGTGCCGTAATTTTTAACCGTGTGCTTGCATGTGTGTGTGTGGTAGTGACCTTAACTTACGTACTTTGCATCTGTAAGTTTCTCTATCGTTTGTATTGCACAGACACCAAGTGGGTGTGGAAGGTTCCAGCCAAAGTACCGCAAAGCTTGTCTAGAGCTGACGGCCGAGTGGATCAAGGTCAACGACGATAACCAGGAGAAGAAAATCTTCCTCAGTGCCGAGAGAGTGCTGGAAATCTTCAAAAACATCAGTGATGATGACTCGTACATTATTGGCATGGATCCAAGGTGCGTGCAGGACACACACTACATTGTAGCACCAAAGTGTAGTGACATTTTTGATTGAGACACTACTTAGATTTAGTAATCGCATTACTGCATGCATACGCCATCAGCATAACCAGTATGTGTGTTGTGTGTGTGTGTGGGAGAAAGATGGTGTTTTTGTTTTAGGTTTGCTCGACCGGATTGGACGGTTATCTCCGTCCTTCCCGTCCCTCCTCTCTCCGTCCGACCTGCTGTCGTCATGCACGGCTCAGCGCGCAACCAGGTAATACACACGTAATGTAGCCCCAAAGTCTATTTATACAGGATTAGAGGGGTTCCCCAGTACATCCAATTTTACTTCGATACCTTTATGAATGTCTCTAGGATGATTTGACTCACAAGTTGGGAGACATTGTCAAGTGCAACCAGCAACTCATCAGAAACGAACAGAACGGCGCAGCCTCACACATAATCCTTGAAGACATCAAAATGTTACAGTTTCACGTCGGCACTCTGATCGATAACGAAATACCAGGACTCCCCAGGGTATGTCATGTGATAATCATGTGATCTGGCCACCTGACTGTAATGTGATGCACTGCAGGCTCTACAGCGTGGCGGGAGGCCCCTGAAATCAGTGAAGCAACGACTGAAGAGCAAAGAGGGGCGTGTCAGGGGAAACCTGATGGGAAAGAGAGTGGATTTCTCGGCACGTGCTGTCATTACTCCAGACCCCAACCTGAGCATCGACCAAGTCGGAGTACCCAGAACTATCGCTCAGAACCTTACTTTCCCGGAGATCGTTACCCCATTCAACATTGACAGGTACGTAGAGAGTCAATTCAGTATTGTAGCTTGGAGTCTTGTATGGTCGTGTTTTTGTTGGCGATGATTATAAAAGTACTTGCAGAAATTTGAAGTATGAGAAACACTATGATTCCATAGTTTGTGATGAGCCGACATAAATCATGGACATTTAAATTAGTCAATCATTTAACACTGGTTGTATTGTTCATACTGGTGTTGTTGCATTGTGCAGGATGCAGGAGCTGGTCGCCCGCGGCAACAACCAGTACCCGGGTGCAAAGTACATCATCAGGGACAACGGAGAGCGAATCGACCTCCGCTATCACCCGAAACCCAGCGATCTTCACCTCCAGTTTGGCTACAAGGTGGAGCGTCATCTCAGAGACGACGACCTCATCGTTTTCAATCGGCAGCCAACCCTACACAAAATGTCCATGATGGGCCACAGAGTCAAGATTCTTCCCTGGTCCACCTTTAGACTCAACCTCAGGTGAGGTCACATGGTCATCATGTGATCATCATGTGATTGCCACATGATGATGTGATGTGATCCTGCAGTGTGACTACGCCCTACAATGCCGATTTTGACGGAGACGAGATGAACCTACACGTGCCTCAGAGTCTCGAGACAAAGGCGGAAATCCAAGAGTTGTTGATGGTTCCTCGCAACATTATGACTCCTCAGAGCAACCGGCCTGTGATGGGCATCGTGCAGGACTCGCTGCTTGCAAGTAGCAAAATGACAAAGAGAGACGTCTTCATTGAAAAGGTGGGCTCTCTACCCTTTTGGTACCTCTCCCTTTCGTAGTTTGGCATGTGCAGAAAGCTAGTCCATGAAAACTACACATGATAGAAGCCCAAAGGTCCTTGAGTTGAGATGTTCCGAGCACAGCGCTAACGCGACGCGAGTTTACATCACCAGGTGACAGTACAGGGGGAAATGCTGTCGCCACGGAAACCGGGGAGGGGAAAGCCGCAGCGTACTACGAGATTGTTTTCGCACATGTGCGTACTAAGTCCGTGTATAATATACACATTAGGAGGAAGTGATGAAACTGCTGATGTGGATCCCATCCTGGGACGGCAAGATGCCCCAGCCTGCCATACTGAAACCAAAACCTCTCTGGACGGGGAAGCAGGTTTTCTCTCTCCTGATACCGGACCACACAAACTGCATCAGAACTCACTCCACCCACCCTGACAACGAGGACGGCAGCCCTTACAAGTGGATTTCACCTGGAGATACAAAGGTCTGTGCGAATGCTTACGTTTTTACGTAAAGGAGAGAACTTTCAGCAATTTGGACGCTAGAAACCTTCTGTAATTAGAATGCTATGGAGAAGGTTTCTGGTGTAGGTTTTCTAGCAGTCTAATGGCAGGTGTGTGTGTGAAGTTCTTGTTGTGTGTGTGTGTGTAGGTACTGATAGAGAACGGGGTCCTCCTCTCTGGCATCCTCTCAAAAGACACTCTGGGTAACAAGGCCGGTTCTCTCTTGCACATCATCACCATGGAGTGGGGTCACGAAGTCGCCAGGGCCTTCTACGGCAGCGTTCAGATGCTCGTCAACAATTACCTGTTGATTGAGGGGCACAGCATTGGGATCGGGGACACAATCGCCGACAGCGTCACATACAACGATATCCAGAGGGCCATCCGCCAAGCAAAGGTATTCAAGTTCAACATACTATCATGTGACTTTCACATGTGGGTCATGTGATCCCAGAGTGATGTCATAGAGGTCATCAAGAAAGCACACAACAACGAGCTGGAGCCGTCGCCGGGAAACACGCTGAGGCAGACTTTCGAAAACCAGGTGAACCGGATTCTGAACGAGGCTCGAGACAAGACAGGTAGCTCTGCCCAGCGCAGTCTCTCCGAGTTCAACAACTTCAAAGTCATGGTGACGGCTGGTTCGAAAGGCTCAAAGATCAACATCTCGCAGGTCAGAGAACCACTGCAGGGGGAGCAAGAGAAGGAGGGAGGGGGTGCACGCACGTAATCTGTTTGGCTGTCGTTTCTGCGCAGACATGCCGCTGCATTTTACACAGAAACAAGCCAACCTTTATAGTTGCCTATTCCCCCTCCTTAGAGAGTGTAGCACTGGTCATACTCATTCTGTGTAATGTGCAGGTTATTGCCTGCGTGGGTCAGCAGAACGTGGAAGGTAAACGGATCCCGTTCGGATTCCGGCACCGCACGCTCCCTCACTTCATCAAGGACGACTACGGCCCGGAGAGCAAGGGGTTCGTCGAGAACTCGTATCTCGCGGGGCTCACCCCAAACGAGTTCTACTTCCACGCCATGGGCGGTCGAGAGGGCCTCATTGACACTGCAGTGAAGACCTCGGAGACAGGTTTATACATACGCACAAGTCTACATGTGTTTCCCTGTAAAAGTTCATGTACGGTAACATGTGCACTTGTAGTTATGATGTAATGTGTAAACTATCACGTATCACAATCTCGTAGTTTTGCTTGTTATCTTGTACCACAGTACACTGGGAATTTCAACCTCCCATTCCCCCTCTACCTGTATATTATGTACACACTCTAAGGTTACATCCAGAGAAGGCTGATGAAAGCCATGGAAGGCATCGTGGTGCAATATGATGGAACAGTGCGAAACTCCAACCGACAGCTCACCCAGCTTCGCTACGGGGAAGACGGCATGGACGGAGCGTTCATGGAGTTTCAACAGCTGCCCGGAATCAAACCCTCCCACGCCTCTTTCAAGAGGAGATTCTACTTTGACTGCTCTGACCAGAGGTAGTAGACGGTTTACGTACTAACCTCTATTGGGAAACAGTTTTAATATGGAGCACACTGTACAACTATAATACACACAAAGAATGTTCAAACACTTCCTCGTGACCATGTATTTTGCCCGCTATAACAAACAGCTGAGTGTTGTGGATTCCAACCGTACGCAGGGCAGAGTTGTTGTTGGTGTAGTTGTTGATATGCCCACTTGCCTTGTGTTTGTTCGTCGTGCAGGATGCTGACTCGATGTTTCAAAGAGGACGTTGCGTGGAAGGTGATGAAGAGCACTGAGGACCACGAGGTGCTCCAGCAAGAGTGGACCCAACTCCAGGAAGACAGGGAGGCACTCCGCTCCATCTTCCCCACCGGGAACACCAAGGTCAGCTGGCTGTCACATGACCCTCATGTGAAGTCCTGTGATGTGTCATGATGTGTCACTAGGTGGCTCTACCAGTAAACCTGGGGAGGCTTATTTGGAATGCCCAGAAGTTGTTTCATCTCGATGTACGTGGGCATACTGACCTGGACCCCGTCAAAGTCGTGAAAGGTTAGTCTGTTGATATACATGAATAATGGATATATTTTGGGGACTAGAAAGTGCAGCAGTGTCCCTTACTTGGAGCTTCTCTCTCTCTCTCTCTCTCTCTCTCTCTCTCTCTCTCTCTCTCTCTCTCTCTCTCCTCTCCTCTCTCCTCTCTCTTCCTCTCTCTCTCTCTCTCTCTCTCTCTCTCTCTCTCCTCTCTCTCTCTCTCTCTCTCTCTCCTCTCTCTCCTCTCTGCACATCCTCTTTCCCTGCCTCATCTCTCTAAGACGTGCGAGAGCTGAGCAGTAAGCTGGTGATTGTCAAGGGAAACGATCCTCTCTCGGTGGAGGCACAGAAAAACGCAACCCTTCTCTTCAACATCCTACTTCGCTCCACGCTCTGCGCGCGGCGGGTCGCCGAAGAACACAAGTTGTCAGCTGAAGCCTTTGAGTGGATTATTGGGGAAATCGAGAGTAGATTTCAACAGGCGCAGGTTTGCTACACACACACACACCAACTCTGGCGTGCAAGAACTGTTCTTTGGCATTAGAGAGGTGTCCTCATTTCGGGGGTGTCCTTAGAGAGGGGTTCCAGTTTCCAGAAAAATTCATCTGGGGTTTAGCTAAAGTAGGGACCAGGGGCCCCTTTATTTACTCCACTTCTCCTACTTCCCCCTCCTTTACTAACGGCGAGTTAACAGTTGCCTCCCTAAACCCTATCATGTTTGTGGTTCTTTGTGTGTAGGTACAACCTGGTGAGAATGTGGGGGCGCTGGCAGCCCAGTCGCTCGGTGAGCCTGCCACACAGATGACCCTGAACACGTTCCACTACGCCGGAGTGTCGGCCAAGAACGTCACTCTCGGAGTACCCCGTCTCAAGGAGATAATAAACGTCTCCAAGAGGCCCAAGACACCGTCCCTCACCATCTTCCTTCACGGACAGGCTGCCAGAGATGCGGAAAAGTGCAAGGTTTGCCAACCGTCACGTACTGGGTGTACTACTAGTTCATTGTTCATTTTGCCTTTGCCTTGATACTACTTCATTGTTAAACCATCAATACTACGTGCGTGATAAGGGTCGTTTTCTCAGAGCCTATCACAATATGTGCACGTCTACCATGAAAATCCCTGACATGGTTGTAAGGTGTGCAAAGGAGTCTTGGTTTAAGCAGATGTACAGATGTTTCTACTTCCCTCTCTTTCCTTTCTATTATGTCATTATGTATTACATCATCCTCTAATGGTATGGCTCTGTCCATTTTCCAGGATGTCCAGTGCAGGATAGAGTACATCACTCTGAGGAAGGTCACCGCCAACACGGCCATCTACTACGATCCAGAACCTCTCAACACAGTCATTCCCGAGGACCAAGAGTTTGTGAGCGTCTACTACGAGATGCCCGACTTTGACCCGGCGCGGATCTCCCCCTGGCTCCTCCGACTGGAGCTGGACAGGCGCAGGATGACGGACAAGAAGCTCACGATGGAGCAGATTGCCGAGAAGATCAATCACCATTTCGGCGACGACTTGAACTGCATTTTCAACGACGACAACGCCGAGAAATTGGTCCTCCGCATCCGTCTCATGTCCGGAGACGACTCCAAGTTCCAGGGAGGAGAGGTGGGACGATGACATCATCCTTTGTTCTATTTTTAGGCACGTTTTGTAATGATGTTGTAATTTTATTACAGGAGGATGAGTTAGAGAACAAAATGGAGGACGACATGTTTTTGCGATGCCTGGAGTCAAATCTGCTCTCGGACATGGCTCTTCAGGGGATCGAGCGGATCAACAAGGCAAGCCCTGATCACATGACTCTCACATGACGGTCATGTGACCCCCTCTCACACAGGTCTACATGCACTACCCGGAGCAGGACTCGAAGAAGAAGATTATCATTAACGAGGAGGGGCAGTATAAAGCAATCAAGGAGTGGATTCTGGAGACGGATGGGGTCAACCTCATGAGAGTCCTCAGCGAGCCTTCCGTCGATCCAACGCGAACCACCTCCAACCACATTGTGGAAATCTTCTCTGTAAGACATCTTTTTTCTTTTTTTCTGCCTTTTCGGTGAGGCCTTTTCTGTGCCCTTTTCCTTGCGTTTTTGTTGTTTGGTGTTAGTTGGCATTTTACTCTCTGTGGTCTTTCATTATCCATAGGTGTTGGGTATAGAGGCAGTCAGGAAGGCAGTTGAGAAAGAGCTGCATCACGTCATCTCGTTCGACGGGTCCTACGTGAACTACCGCCACTTGGCCCTCCTCTGTGATGTAATGACAGCACGTGGTCACCTCATGGCTGTCACACGTCACGGGATAAATCGACAGGACATTGGGCCACTCATGCGATGCTCTTTCGAAGAAACGGTATGACTATTATACACTTTTGTTTGTCAATAGCATAAATACATGGAACCATGGTAGTTAGCAAGCAAATGAAGTGAATTCTCTCGAAAGAAGCAGCATTTTCTTAGACAAAACAAACCTCTTTGCCGTTTGTTTCACTCCTGTGCTTTTTCGTGTGTGTGTGTGTGTGTCTGTCTACATATATAGGTGGATGTTCTGATGGAAGCCTCAGCTCACTGTGAAGCAGACAGGATGCAGGGAGTGAGTGAGAACATAATGCTGGGTCAGCTACCCAAGGGAGGCACGGGGGCCTTCAACCTCATGCTGGATGCCGAGAAATGCAAACAGGCCATGGAAATCCCCACCACCATGTCGATGATGATGCCACTGGAGCTGTACGGGATGGATTCGGGGTCTGCCAGTGGACAAACGCCGGCGATGACTCCGTGGAGTGCCGGAGCAACTCCGTTTGCAGATTGGAGTCAGACAGGAATGACGCCCAGTGGAGGGGCAGCTTTTTCGCCGGCGCCGACCGATGCCAGTGGGTTCAGTCCCGGGTACAGTCCGGCTTGGACTCCGGGTCCTTCATCTCCGGGATTTGGTCCACAGAGCCCCGGATTTTCTCCGAGTCCTCTTGATGGCGGGTCTTACTCGCCGGCAAGCCCGCAATACTCGCCTACTTCTCCCGGGATGAGCCCATCGAGTCCAAATTATTCCCCTTCATCCCCACGCTACTCCCCCGCGTCGCCAAAGTACTCGCCCGCTTCACCAAAATATTCACCAACTTCTCCCGGATATTCACCAGCCTCGCCAACTTATTCGCCGACGAGTCCGTCGTACAGTCCGGCGAGCCCGAGCTATTCACCTGCTTCGCCGTCTTATTCACCAACAAGCCCAGGATACTCCCCCACAAGTCCTAGCTATTCACCAACGAGCCCAGGGTACTCTCCTACCAGCCCAAGTTATTCGCCCACCTCTCCTTCTTATTCTCCCGCAAGCCCCAGTTATAGTCCATCCAGCCCGAGTTACAGTCCCTCGAGTCCCAGCTATTCTCCCTCGAGTCCCAGCTATTCACCTTCGAGTCCCAGTTACTCGCCTTCGAGTCCCAGCTATTCTCCCTCGAGTCCCAGCTATTCACCATCAAGCCCAAGTTATTCTCCCTCGAGTCCCAGCTATTCACCATCAAGCCCAAGTTATTCTCCCTCGAGTCCCAGCTATTCACCATCAAGCCCAAGTTACTCGCCATCGAGCCCCAGTTACTCGCCCTCCAGCCCTAGTTACTCACCCTCGAGTCCCAACTACAGTCCGTCTTCGCCAAGCTATTCTCCGAGTTCGCCAAAGTATTCCCCCAGTTCACCCAAGTATTCCCCAAGCTCGCCGAAATATTCCCCGAGCTCTCCAAGTTATTCTCCATCGAGCCCCACCTATTCGCCCGGTTCACCGTCTTATTCCCCATCCTCGCCAAAATACAGTCCCTCTTCCCCCACTTATTCCCCCTCGTCCCCCAAATATTCCCCCAGTTCCCCCAAATACTCTCCCTCCTCCCCCAAATATTCGCCCAGCTCCCCGAAATATTCCCCCTCCTCGCCCAAGTATTCACCGAGCTCGCCAAAGTATTCGCCATCAAGTCCGCAGTATACGCCGTCGAGCCCCCAATACTCTCCTTCGAGCCCGCAATATTCGCCCTCGAGTCCGAATTACAGCCCTTCGAGCCCGAGTTATTCGCCGTCCACCCCAGCCTCTACGAAATACAGTCCCACGTCGCCAGCCTATACACCGTCATCGCCGAAGTACACGCCAAGTTCCCCGCAGTATACGCCTACAAGTCCACAGTACTCCCCCACAGATACTGCTTACACCCTTTCATCGGACGAAGAAGACTAGCAGGTGATGTGCAGGACCAGAGACTACGTATCAACTTACTCTAAAGAACAACGTTTTTACTTGCATTTACATACATATTATTATGCCCGTTTGATTTGTGCGCTTGCGCAGTTGTTATCTGATTTGTGTAACTTCGTCCAAAGTGCGCATGCGCGGCCGGTGCAAAAAGCAGTCGGTGTGTAGTGGGTGTGGAGAGACGGTCGACGAAAAGGCGACTGGAAAAGCTCACGATGTGCGGTAAGAACACGATCCGATTTGTCGCGAATTCCCTCGCCACCTATGTACGTGCACACACACACAGGAATATTCGGCTACCTCAACTACCTGTGTCCGCGGACCAGGCACTACATCCTGGAGGCCCTGGTGAAGGGGCTGAAGAGGTTGGAGTACAGGGGATACGATTCCGCGGGACTCGCCTTCGACGGAGACGGGAAGATAACAGTCCAGGGCGAGAGTCTACAGGAGACACGGTAAAACACAGTAAAAGAAATATTTTTACACACGCACTTGTGTGAGGATAATAATTAGCTAGTGTCCAGGAGCGATAAAAATATTGTAGGTTGCATATTTTTGAAAGTACACCTTTTCGTCCGATTTCTTTCTTGTTTGCAGGATTATGCGACGGAAAGGGAAAGTCAACGCTCTAAATGAATTAGTCTTCTGTAAGGACTAATAATTTGTTGTACCTCTAGAATAATGTTGATGATACAAACAATTTTCGTTTTTCAGCTGTGGAGGATGTAGATTTGAGTGTGGAGCTGTCCGTGCACATTGGCATTGCTCACACGCGATGGGCCACTCATGGGGTCCCCAATGAAGTCAACAGCCACCCTCAGAGATCAGGGGAAAATAATGGTACAGGCACAAACAAAGAGAGACGGTGAGAGAGAGAGAAGAGAGAGAGGGGGAGGGAGGAGAAGGGGGAGGGGGGTTAGTGGGAGGAACGTATCTGCAACGTTGCCAGGGGCCCTATCTAAAACTGTGGTCTCATAGTACCACCACATGTCACCATCCCATCTTATGTAATCTGAAGCATATGTATGTAGTATCATATTCCTCTCATTGAACAGTGTTTGTCTGCGTCCACAATGGAATTACCACAAACTACAAAGACATCAAGAAATTTCTGGTGGGCGAATTTTCCCCCCCAAAACCTGTTCAACCTGTCTTACAACTTGTATATAGCTGGATAGAAGGTTCAAGTTTGAGAGCGACACGGACACCGAAGTCATTCCAAAGCTGATGCAGTATCTCTACGAGACTCAGGTATTCAGATCTATAGTGTACATTTCCAGAACCTCATATAAGTCTTTAAAGACAAGGGCACACAAAGTGGTACCGGGCTTGATTGCATAACAAGGGCATTTGTTGGCAATGATACAAATGCCTTGTTATGCAATCAAGCCCGGTAGCACCGATATATTATATCAGGAATGAGGCATTTTGTGTCCCTTGCAGACCCAGGCAGGAGACAGACCTACTTTTCAAGAGCTCATGGAACAGATTGTAATACAACTGGTAGGCACACATTTTTCCATGCATGTACATACATACACCCCGAGATCCTTAGGTAAACTGTACAATATATGTGTGTGTGTGTATATATGGCAGAGCAACGCAGGACAATTCAAAGTCTAAAAAGACATGTATTATATAGCAGAATGTCGTGGCGCTATTTTGCTGATATTTTGCCATTTTATGTACGTACACTGACTCTACATGGCTAATACTGATGTTCTCTCCTCTAATCTCTCTCTTTTCCCTGTCACACACAGGAAGGGGCATTTGCGCTGGTGTGTAAGAGCAGTCACTATCCCGGCGAGGTCGTCGCCACTCGCAGGGGAAGTCCCCTGTTAGTCGGTATCCGTAGCAACCATCACGTGATCACCAACAACATCCCCGTGTATGTCAGTTCTCACAACAGTAAGTTGAAGTCCAACTTTCGCCTACATGTATGGAAAATGTTTGTGCATGACTCTAAAAAAATCCACAAAATTTGTTAACTTACGCAAATTTTTTGTAAGCCCCACGCTCCACTCCACCCATTGTTCCGTGTGTGTGTGTGTGTGTGGATACAGCTGTAAAGTTCTCGTGTTCATTTTACTCCAGTTGCGGGGTACCCCACATACCACGACCCCACTACCACGGTACCCCCATCCCCCGACTTCCGGCGAGCCAACTCCGTGACACGGTTCAACGTGCAGGAGGGAGAGAAAGGAGGGAGAGAGGTGGAGTACTTCTTTGCCTCTGACGCCAGGTATATAAGAACTCCTTGGAGACTGAGAGATGAAAAGTTAGACGTTTATATACCACTGGATGACAAAAAACTTAAATATTCGTAATGTAGCTCTTTCTTCTTTGGGGGAAAGTGTTCATAAGTTCACAATCTGCAAATTTTTTACAGATTGTGAAGTTTTTCCCTTTAAATGTGGACCCTGTTATAATTTGGGATAATGATACAACTCATACCCTCTCTCTCTCTCTATTTTTACAGTGCGATAATTGAGCACACCAACCGTGTCATCTATCTAGAGGACAATGACGTTGCAGCTGTCAACAATGATGGAAGTAAACAAACCACCACATCTCTTGATTCCAAAAACCCCTCTAATTATTAGATTTGTTTGTTGACCTTCCCAGTTCTGACCATACATCACGTCAAACGAGACACTCAGACTGTTGCCACGGCAACCCAACGGGAGGTCCACACGCTCAAGATGAAGATACAGGAGATTATGAAAGGTGCGTATTATTACAGCCGGCTATTTGGGAATTTCGATATTTCTCTCTATTTATAGGGAACTTTGACTGCTTCATGCAGAAGGAGATATTTGAGCAGCCGGAGAGCGTGGTCAATACGATGAGAGGGCGGGTCCGCTTTGACGAGGGCAAAGGTGAATCTTCACGTTTTTGAGGGAGTTCTAGAGATATTTATTTTTGTGTCGTTATGTAGTGGTGCTGGGAGGACTCGTTGATCAGATTGGTGTCATAAGGAGGTGTCGTCGACTTGTGATGATCGCCTGTGGAACCAGCTTTCACTCTGCTTTAGCTGTTAGTCGATAACTTTCTCCTGCCCTTTACTCTCTCTCTCTCTCTTCCCTATCTCCTTCTCTAGTTTACCTCTCTTCCCTCCCTCCCCCCTCCCTCTATCTCCTCCCCCCTTTTCTCCCAAGACTCGCCAACTAATGGAAGAGCTAACTGAACTGCCGGTGATGGTTGAACTGGCTTCTGATTTCCTCGACCGAAGCACCCCAATCTTTAGGGATGATGTCACCTTTTTCATCAGCCAATCAGGTTAGGACTATCCTTCTTCCTCTTTGACACACTCTTTGTAGAGGGGAAGAGGCCGTCTTTACGAACATACCGAGCATACTAGAACAGACAACACATCCATATGTACTGAGCTCACAAGAAATCTGCTAACACATCAAACAAGATTTGCCGTTGTTAAACATGCCGTTCTTTAACCCCACCCTCCAACAACCTCTTTCTCTTGTACACCTACTTACACTAGCATACTACGTATGTACACTGTACTTTGTCCTCAGGCGAGACGGCAGACACACTGAATGCCCTCCAGTACTGCAAGCGTCGAGGTGCCCTTGCAGTTGGCATCACCAACACAGTCGGTAGCTCCATCAGTCGCGGCACTCACTGCGGAATACACATCAACGCCGGCCCTGAAATAGGCGTGGCCAGTACAAAGGTCAGTTCAATCTATTAGTGGCCCATGGGCTCTTAACTATACTTTCATAAACTCATTATGAGACTACTAAAGTCAAACATAAGTGAGTACATTATGTTTAGTATGGAGTAGTGGAGTATAGCTGCTTATTTGTTCACAGGCGTATACCAGTCAGTTTGTTGCCATGGTGATGTTTGCCCTGGTGATGTCAGAGGATCGTGTCAGCATGCAGCCGCGACGACAGCAGATCATTCAGGCCCTCCAGAAACTACCTGGTAACGCAGACAATGTTGACAAAAACCTGTTGTGTGGGCAGAATCAGGTGTCGTCCATTTTTGTTACTGGACCATCCGTGTTCCTTCAGGTTTGATAAAGGAGACACTGAAGCTGGACAACCAGATCCGCTCTCTTGCAGAGGACATCCACAAACAAAAGTCGCTCATTGTGATGGGGCGTGGCTACAACTTTGCCACCTGCCTCGAAGGAGCCTTAGTAAGCCTTACTTACTGTAGTAGTCGGCCTTAGTAGTTGGCTTTGTGGAACAAACACCCCTGAAATGAGGACACCTCTCTAATAAGGACACTTTTCTTTCCCGACGAACAGTTCTCACCAATTAGGACACATCTTCTATCCCACTGCTGTGTGGATTAGAGGGGTTCCACTGTAATACTATATTCTAGATTCTCATTGTATGTAGTCTTGTGCTGTCTGTCAATGCCCTATAGAAAATAAAGGAGCTGACCTACATGCACTCGGAAGGGATCCTAAGTGGAGAGTTGAAACACGGACCGCTTGCTATGATCGATAAGGACATGCCTTGCATCATGATTGTCACCAAGGACAACACATATACGGTTGGTTGCCATCGGTAACACACACACATTCACACAATAGATATTATGTCAGTTGTGCATTTTCAGTTTCAAATCTTTTTTTCCACAGAAATGCCAAAATGGGCTATCACAAGTCACTGCTAGAGGGGTAAGTTTGCTGACTGCTACCTTGTTGGAGTTTCAATTAATCTTGCTAATTACAGGGGCGACCCATCGTTATTGGGGAACAGGGAGACGAGTATGTCCGGAAAAACTCGTTCCGTTGCCTGGAGATTCCGTCTACTGTGGACTGTCTCCAAGGAATCTTGGCCATTATTCCACTCCAGCTGCTTTCCTTTCACATTGCGACACTGCGAGGATTTGACGTGAGATTCGCCCCCTCTCGCTCTCCCTTCTTTCTTTCCCTTCCCCATCTTTCTCCTTCTCCCTTTGCTCCTTCACGCTCATCTCTTCACCCCCCTCCCCCCATTTTCTTTCCTCATCCTCTCACCCCCTCTCACTCCCTCATTATCATCTTTCCCCCACTCACTCCCTCATTATCATAATTATTTCCCCCTCTCACTCTCACTCCACACAGGTTGATTGTCCACGCAACTTGGCCAAGAGTGTCACGGTCGAATAAAAGGTGTACATTTTGAAGATATTTCTAACATTCTGCCAGCCCTGATTTTTTTTCATTACGGCAACAATTTAATAGCTTCTCCGCTCTATAGCGAACTCCCCTTTTTCACTGAAATCTACAATTTTGTTAATAAATTTCGTGATTAACCAAAGAAATAATGAATGGCTAAGTGGCTTCTTTTCGACAGCTTTCCTCTGTTAACTGGTTTTGTTGACAAAGTGACTAACTGCTAATTATCATGAAGAGAAAAGCTGTGAAACACGATATGCACAGAGTGTGATTTATGCACGATCATTCCAGATTGGTATTTTACGAGTGAGCTACTAAAGCTATAGGTTAGAAAACCTGACCACATAGTGAATAGTATCGTCAGACTAGACTCATTTCCAATAGTAGCTGCCCCATATAGGCAGAGGGTGGGCCTCTGTGTTAATGACCCAGTGATCCAGAGAAATGACGCTGTGATCGTCGGAAAAGAGAAGAAATAGGTATTTCAGCGTCTCGCCCAAAAAGAAACTCTCCATCTTGTCTCGGTAGTCTGGGTGGGTGGTATTTGTCACGTCATTTATGGAAGAGTAACCGCCACCTTCGAGTCTCGTGTACTTGTTGAATGCCTGCAGTAGAGAAAGGGTTACGTAATTAAAGTAGAGGGCAAGTGTAGGTATATAGTAGGAAAAGGTTAATCGAACTAAAGAGCCACATTTAGTTCAGCATGCCTTGAGGACTGCAGGGTAAAAATTGGGGAAGGTAGTCCTAAAGGGTTAAACTTGGGGGCGGTTGTCCTAAAGGGTTAAACTTTGAGGGCTTATGTATGGTGTCCAAGAGAGATAAATCCTTCATTGTTGCAGCAAAGGGACCTATGTACATATAATATACCTGTAGAATGTTCCAGCCCCATTTCTGGTACTTTGTGTTGTTTGTGAGTCGGTACAGGTAGAATAGAGATTCAACGGTTTCAGGACGCAGAAGATTGTGCCGGTCCAAAGGCTAAATAAAGAGGAAGGGAGGGAGGAGAAAGAGGCATAAACCTTCGTTTTCGTTCAACATTGAACAAAGTAGATTTTCTTGCTAAACTCGCACACCTTCACATAGAGGTCTTCGGCAGCTCCGGGCTCCGTATTGAAGTGCACAATTTCTGGGCTTAGTTTCGTCGGCATGTCTTTGTACATACGATAGCACGTGTATATTAAGTTCTTGGCAATGGCCATGTACTTGGCTGGCAGACCGTTGTGAACTCCCAGAGCCAATGTGCCTGGGAGGTAACACACTAAATGATCCTGAGATTTGAGAAAGAAGAGAGGAGAGAGAAGATCGAGAGAGATATACCAAATTAACCATCTGAAGCTATCAATTGCGATAAAGGTATATACAGTACTTGTTAGCATGAGTACCATATACAAAGCACAGTTCAACACATGGACTCCACAGAACATTCTAGACTGTTCTAGAGCTATGCAAAGCTGCGTAACAGTAGACACTTCTGACAGACCATCTTAGGGTAGAATTCCCCCCTCTCCAGCTCTTCACCAATAAAGGTGAGGTTAGACGGTTTCGAGTGCCTCAGGAGCCTTTTCTTGACTCCAGACATTGAGTCCAGAAACCACTGCCTGAACCTGCGCATGACAGCATGGAATAGAGACAGAGACACATCTCCACAACACTGCGATCTCCTTCAACACAACCAACACATTGTTCGCATTCTCTAGCTCTCAGGGTGGGTTATAGTTACTAGCTCTTGCGTAATATTTGCGACACAGCATTGTGCTACGTTTAATAAATTTTCACTGCCTTCTTGCCCTGGGTTACAGACGCATGCAAGGGCTAGCACCGACATTGTGACCCACACTCACCTTTGCTCTGTCTTGCTACACTGGATCCACTGTTTGAAGAGATACTCGTAGTAGGTGTCTGCTCTAGCACCGAGTGTGAGCGTGCCCGGCCTCAGTTTTCCCGTCTCAGCATTGATGAAGAGAGGAACCAAGTGATCTTTCTTTGGTAGCGACTGCAGTTTTTCCATCACCCTGTCCACAGCAATCTGGGCAAAAAAGTTATACATACTGTCTTGGTAAAAGAATTTCACAATCACTGGAAGAGATACCAATTGAAATCGTGAACACTACAATTAAAGATCTAAACTAATATCAAGAAGACAGCTGGATGAGCCACCAATCTTACATGAATTAATATTGCCGTGGGTAGACTTGCCCTGAAGCATTATTATCCAACTTGGATCTACGAGATTGAAACTTCACGATTTACGCAATCTGATTGGTCAGTTGAAATCTGCTGCAGCAGTCTAATACCTGATATTTAGTGTCGCCAGTGAGCATGGAGAGGTCCCTGAACTCGAGCTGAATGGTACTGATCTCAGACACTGAGCTGTCTGGACCCCATTCCGGTGCGTGGGAATTACCACTCTTGAGATTGATGTCTGAGAATGGGACCTTTGACGGGCTTTTGAAACACGGCAGCAATCTGTCTCCCAACTCTTTCTGTACAAGTATGGGGAAAATCAAAGTTTATACTTCCATACCTCATTCCCCATACCCCAAAACCTGATTTCAATGTCTCATTCTGCATCAGAATGGTAGAGTACAAAAACTGTGGTTCTGCAAACCCATAATAATTAACGTCCCTATGCCACGCCACATTTTCCTAACCAATTCCCCATATTTCACATTCCCATACTTTATTATGCCCCCAAATCACGTTATCATACTCCATTCCCGTATTTCATTTTCCCATACCCAATTCCCTATATTTCAAGTTCTCATACCCCATTCCCATACTTCAAGTTTCCATATCCCATTCCCATACTTCATGTTCCCATGTCCAATCTACTCACGGCTCTATCAAGGAAGAGCTGGTCCTGAGTCAAATGGTATGTGCTCAACAACCCACCCAAAACCCGTATCGTCGTCTCAAACAGGTTAACGTCCTTGTCAACACCAACGACCATTTCTTGCTGGACCCAGTTTCGGGCCTCGTCAAACTCGTCTGACAGGCCCATCAGCCACATGGTGTCCAGGGAATCAACTAGCGTTAGCCCCAGATCAAACCACTCGTTGCTCTCTTTGGAGATTGGCTTCAGTTCGTCTTTTCCCCACGCGTGTTCCTTGTACGCCTTCCATGCATGTTGGAAGGCCTCAACCACTGCCTTCTGTTGGTCAGTTTGTGGCAACTGAAGCGGTCTACCAAGGGGCATGCCACCTAGGTTGTTCAGAGGCCCATCTCGTTTCTGAGTCTGATCATGTGACTGAGTCATCTTGGCGTAAATCAGGGCAATACACAAAGCCAAAGCTGCCACCAATAAAGGGACAGTATAATAATACGCAGGGAAAGGCAGATTCTTCTTCTTTCCCTTGGACCGGGCCTGCAAAATTACAAATTGGCGTGTAATACTTCATAATACAGGAGAAGAGGTTTATAAAGTTCTTATACCCCTATCGTGGGGGCTTGAACATTGGTGGACTTGTTCTTCTTTCTTGAGCCTCCCATTATCGCGAATCTTACCGCATGCGCGTCACACACAAACTCCGCCCACTTATACGGTCGATTCCCTATACGCATGCGCGAACACACGTGCCAACAACAAAGAGGAGATGGAGAAAACTAAACTCTGGATCTTGAAGGTTAGGCTTCGGGATTTTCACAGCAATTCTCTATGGTTTGAGTCCCGCAGTTCACGAAGGACGGGGGTGTGTATGCTTCCGAAGAACCGCCGTCCGTTGTGCTTCTCTTGTCTCCCCGCGGACCGGCTGCTACCACTTCTAGGAAACTCCGCCAGGTGAGCGCTCTCGTGTGTGACGCTCTCAACGTGTGGAGTTTAGCAGCTATTGCAGCCGCTGGAAGTCGGAGACTTCGTTTTGGCGGGCGGAAAGAGAGCGCGGATTCGGAACATCTTTCTCTCGCAGTCTCAAGGTTCCCTCGCCCAGTAAGCTTTACCTTTAGCTATCTCAGCTGCTCACGAGTATGTTCTGTTTTTGTGCTGTGTGTCTGGCTCACCCGCAGACTGTTCTTTATCGATACTGCTGAAGATGGAACAGCACCACTTCACCAGTAAGTCTACCTACTAAGCCTGTAAACTCTCCAGGAAGAAATTGGTAGTAAAAGCAGATCGCTAAAACATTTGTGGATTGCTTGTGCACACTGCTGTACAGTTGTCCTCACCCGCAAATCTCGCAGATGTTGCTTTCTCAAACCACAAAATGTCCTGTCTTGGGGTATAAATAGCATTTATTTCACCTACCCTTCCAACTCTTCTTTCTCTCCTCTACTGTTTTGTCTCAACAGTCTCTCACCTCTGCCTGATGCCCTCATGGAAGACCCACCATTGGCACAGTACTTTACCCTCGCAGGACTATCTCCTCACGTCCCCAAAGAACCGTCAGAAACTTCGTCACGTGTGAAACAAGCCTTGAAGAAATGCGTGGGGAGGGCCGCCACTTTCCATCTACAAGTGTGGCCCGTGTTTGCTATGAACATGCTCAAAATGATTGTCGGTTGCCCTGGCAACCTGGACGAGGTCGAAGTTCGCGTCGACATGAGGCCGGGGGGTGAAATTGTTGTATACTGCAACACGACAGAAGGGGAGGTATGCTGTTGAGCAGTTTTAATGCTTTTCGATATGCTTGGGCCTACCATGACACTTTCTTCTCTTTCTCCAGCTGAATTTTAATCAGTATCTAATTTCCGTGAATTTTGCTGTTGTCCGCCGCCCGACGCCAAAAGCCACCTCTTCTTCTGGCCAACTCCCAAGTCCTCAGCAGGTGCCGATTGTCTTGGATTAGTTGTACTTACTTACTTGTTAGTGTGGTTTTGTGGTCTGTAATTTTTGTACAGTTGATGTGTGCTCTCGAGAGCCTGAACAAGCTAAAGTTTGATTACCCAGATGAGACTCCGAGTAGACCTGGTAAACCAGCTCGGAAAACCAGTTCAAAACCAGTCACTCAAGAAACTGAGGAAGTTAGCTGTCAGACATTGTTTGATAAGAGTCATGTGATTTTGTTCTCTCTTCTGATTGGTCGATCAGGAGCCGATACCGTACGCCTACCACAAGGTGTACATTGAGAGTGTACTGGACACCAAGCCGTGCGTCTCTCTGGAAGCAGCCGGTTTTCCCGGCTCCGTCTGCAAGGTACTCGCTCGGCTAGGATTCCAGACTCCGACTCTGGCCCAGGGCGCAAGTTGGCCGCTTGTCGGAAAAGACAAGAGCCTCACAATCATCGTGTCTCCACCACACTCGGGGAAGACGCTCGCCTATCTCCTCCCGCTAGTCACGAAGCGAGAGGTTTCCCACCCACGATATGACAACGTGCCTCATCCGCGGCTGATCGTGGTGGTCCGCAGCAGTTGGAGTGCTCTGGCTGTCCACACGCGGGCAGTGGAGCTGATGTCAGCACAGTCCGCTCACCGACGCTTCAGGTATCACCTCTTGCCCCCCTCTCCCCACTCTGATACGACCACATTCTTAGGTGTTGTGCTGCATACAAAGCTCAAGAAAAGGTGAAAAACATCGTATTCTCTTTTTTTTTCTTTTTCTTCTTCACTAGCTCCTTTCTTTATGTTACTCTCTTTTATTACCCCTCATGTTCTCTTTTCCATTTTTTCTCATTTCATTTTTTCCTACTGTGTTGAAATGACATCTGAACGTAATGTTTGTTCAGGCCATTCTTCAAGTTCTCAGTGGTGTGGAAGTATTGGTGTGTACTCCGGACTGCCTTCTCCAACTCATCGATAAGACTGTGGCTCAACTCGACTCCCTGGCCTACCTGGTATTACGACACATTAATTAGCGAGCGAATGCCAGTGCAAAAGTTTACGCATGATAAAATGAAAAGCACTGAAGTGCAAACCCTCGGCGAAATGCGTTTACTCACATGCACGCCGAGGCTTATTAAGAGCTCCATCTACACACAGAATAAAATGACACAATGAAGACAAGTAGATGGACTCGCCTTGCTTGCCAACTAGCCCTACATGTATGTACCTCCTTGTCCCTTCTATAATTATACGTGTATGTTTCACGGCGTAATATTTGTGCGTGCGCAACAGTCAAAATGCAACGATCACACTGCATACATACATAGTTGAGGATGCTGGGGAGTAGTAACAGGCCCATAATAATAATATGTGCCCAATCGGGATTTTGTGTCTGTTTTTTTTTCGAAGGTGCTGGATGACTTTGAAAAGCTGCAGAAGAATTTTTCGACGGAAATTTCCAAAATTCTCGCGCTGTGTTCCAGTTCAACCTGTTCCGGTCCTGTCGGCGTCGTCGTGACAACCTCCCAGTGGTCCGAGGCAGTTGAAGCCGTTCCGTCGCTGGTTTCTGACCACACCCACCTGTGTTCTAGCCCCGCCCACCTCGTTATTGCCTGTCCCATTGAAGCTACTGTCAGAGCAAGAGTAAAAATGGTAATTGTCTGTATTCTGAATTCTTGCTTATCCGAACTGTATATGGGTCAGATGGGATTAAGTGACAGATTAATAGGGTTTTAATACCAATCATGTATTTCTTGGAATTTTTCTCAGAGTGTGATTCCATGCCTGGAGGTCAAACCAGAGTCCGTTCTGCCAAAGCAGCTGTCCCTGACGGGCCCTGGTAGTTGCACGGTCGTGTGTGTCGCTACCACGGAGACGGCCGATAGGGTGTTGCGAAATCTGCACCGTCAGTGTTTGTCGGTTGCCGTGGTGAAAGAGGGCGAGAAGAGGAACTTGAAGGAGCTGTTTAAGAAACAGCCTGTAGTTGGTACGTGGCAGATATAATGTTGGCTCACAAAGACACTTGCAAGCTAGTGTACAATGTGGTTGAGTTGCCGATGTGAATTTAAAAAAGTGCAGTCCCACTAGGTCCATTTTTGGATGTTTAATACACTAGGCATTAGAAACAGTTGTCCTTTATAGAGAGGTGTGTGCTTTATTTAGGGTGCCATAGGTTACGATGTACATTATGCATATAGCATTCCATTTTCTGTGTATTGCGCAAGGTTAGTGCAAAATTGTGAGCACTTGCTTGCGTAATACTGTGAACCCCTGAGTATGCTTGTTACCTTCAGTTGTGACTGACGGTGCAGTACCATTACTGATCCAGACAGGGCCTCTCGTTTCGATCGTCATCCATTATGAACTACCCACCAACAGGACGGCCTTCACTAACAGACTTACCCTCCTATATCCCGCCATTCACAGGTATAAATACTCTAGCTAGTGGTTTTCTTGGGGGTGATTGAACGCACAGCGGTAAAGATATGTACTATCTCCTTCCAGAGGTGTGTCCTGTGACCACAGTATACTGCTGACAGAGAGGTGGAACAGACAGGCTGGCCTCCTGAGTGACATGATGGAGAGGATGGGTCAGAGCTGTCCAGAACCTCTACTTCATATGGCTGAAAAACTGCTGCAGGTAATTAGCAAGATGATGACATCATCTTGCATATGGTATATAGTAAGATGATTTGCTCAGTGTGTATGACATCATCTTCCATATGGTAGCAGCCAGCACGATTCATTGCAGAAGGTAGTGAAATATGTACGAACTAGGAGAGTTTCAGAATCCTTTTAAAGAGATGTAAGTACACTCAAACTCTGCTCTATGCAAATTACAGCCGTGTGTGTGTGTGTGTGTGTGTGATATAGCTGTCATTAGTTGTTGTCTTGTTTCAGGAGAAGGAGGAGAAAAGGAAGGAGTTTGATCTCTGCTATGACCTGAAGGCCTGGGGAGTGTGCTCTGACCCAATCTGTTCGTACCGTCACGTTCACACCATCTCTCCCTCCTCCTTCCCCTCTCCTCAACCACTAGACCTTCCCAAAGATGGGTCCATAAAGGTCTGTGATCTGCTGTATTAGCAATTTAGCTAGATTTTTAGGTGTTGTGGTGTACTGTAGCTTGAAAATGTGACATTATACCCTCGCCATATTTTTAGTAATCTTTTCTTCTCAACCGTTGCGTTCTTTTTCAGGTGATGGTAAAGTACGTCTCAACTGCCACCAGATGGTGGGTCTCTCTTCTTGGCCACGCCCCCTTGTACAGAGGGGCGGAGCCTGTGAAGTCTCACGACCCGGACGGACTTCTGAAGATGTCGTTCAATCTGGCGGAATACTTCACTCCTGACAGACAGAGAAACACTCTCCACAGTATGTTCTCTTTGCATCTTTCTGTATGAGTGATTATACGGTATGGAACTTTTACCATTTGCACTCCAGCGTTAGTCAAGGTATTCAGAATGGTTGGTTCGTCTGTCCTTCTCCCCACCTTCTTCCTTAAAGTACGAAAGGTTTAGGCCACCCTACTCTTATACACTGCACACTCCAGCTATAGTCAAGGTATTTAGGATGGTAGGTTGGTCTGTCCTTCTCCCCACCTTCTTTCTAAAAGTACAAAAAGTTTAGGCCACCCTACTCTTATACACTGCACACTCCAGCTATAGTCAAGGTATTTAGGATGGTAGGTTGGTCTGTCCTTCTCCCCACCTTCTTTCTAAAAGTACAAAAAGTTTAGGCCACCCTACTCTTATACACTGCACACTCCAGCTATAGTCAAGGTATTTAGGATGGTAGGTTGGTCTGTCCTTCACCCACCTCTTCTAAAAGTACAAAAAGTTTAGGCCACCCTACTCTTATACACTGCACACTCCAGCTATAGTCACGGTATTAGGATGGTAGGTTGGTCTGTCCTTCTCCCACCTTCTTTCTAAAAGTACAAAAAGTTTAGGCCACCCTACTCTTATACACTGCACACTCCAGCTATAGTCAGGTATTTAGGATGGTAGGTTGGTCTGTCCTTCACCCACTTCTTTCTAAAAGTACAAAAAGTTTAGGCCACCCTACTCTTATACACTGCACACCCAGCTATAGTCAGGTATTTAGGATGTAGGTTGTACGTCCTCACCCTACCTTCTTTCTAAAAGTACAAAAGTTTAGGCCACCCTATCTTATAACACTGACACTCCAGCTATAGTCAAGGTATTCTAGGATGGTAGGTTGGTCTGTCCTTCACCCTACCTTCTTTCTAAAAGTACAAAAGGTTTAGGCCACCCTACTCTTATACACTGCACACTCCAGCTATAGTCAAGGTATTCAGGATGGTAGGTTGGTCTGTCCTTCTCCCACCTTCTTTCTAAAAGTACAAAAAGTTTAGGCCACCCTACTCTTATACACTGCACACTCCAGCTATAGTCAAGGTATTTAGGATGGTAGGTTGGTCTGTCCTTACCCCACCTTCTTGCTAAAAGTACGAAAGGTTTAGGCCACCCTACTCCTATACACTGCACACTCCAGTTATGGTCAAGATATTCAGGATGGTAGGTTGGTCTGTCCTTCTCCCCACCTTCTTTCTAAAAGTACAAAAGTTTAGGCCACCCTACTCTTATACACTGCACACTCCAGCTATATCAAGGTATTATTCTGCTCACCATAATGTAGAAAACTCTTAGTAGCATCTGAGGACAGGCTAAAACACCATTGTGAACATGTGTACATGCATTTCAGAGTCTCGCAGTAAAACCTATATTTCTCTGTTTTGTGTGACCAGGTGTGCCTGCAGAAGGCAACTACTGTGCACTGAGGGACAGAGACGGCTCCTTCTACCGCGTGAGGATCCTCAAGTTTTCTCAACCTCTGGAGTTCATGTTCCATCACAGAGAGAAAGCCCTAGTGAGGCTTTAACTGTTCAACCTTTCTTGCTCCTCCCTATTTAGTGCCCCCCTCTGTGGTCCTTTTCTTCTGAACTGCATCGGGCAAAGCGAGCAAGTCTGTTAGAGTGTGAATGAAATTAGGTGCCGTGGAGTCAACAATGACTACGTTAAGATTTGGATGACTGTCGCTTGCCATTAACTCTCTTTCATCAGCACTCTGCTGCATACACAGTTGTCGCTTTGCTAACGTTTGAGACTTGCCTCGCTGTTCGTGGTGTTCCATCATGTCGAAATCCTCTTTTTCTCTTCTCTGCCACCATTTTCCATCTGTCTCCAGGTTCGACTGATTGATGTGGGAGAAGCAAAAATCGTCGACGTTTCTCAACTTCTTGAACTCCCTCGGCATCTTCTAGCTACTCCGGCCAACGTATTTGAAATCTTCGTCTGTCGAATCAAACCCTCTGATTGCGATCCTGACTGGCCTCCCCAGGTGATCACTCCGTGTTACGCCATTTGAATCAGTGTGTCTGTTACTCCGTCCGCATTCCCATTCCACAGGCGGCTGAAATGATGGAGCGGGAGTACAGGAATCAGACATTGCACGGTCGAGTTTCACTGGTCAGTGGCGAGACTGTGTGGCTTCATCCCATTGAAAAGAAAGTGCACCACAAAGGTCTCTTTTTAACCCTCAAGAATATTCCATTATTAATTAACCCTTTGCTCACTGCGGATAATTAACCCTTACCACAAGAAGTAGAATTGAAGTAGAATTAGACATAGGTTTATGGAAGCTGCAGACTTGAATGAGGTTACTTGTTTGTATCTGTTTGTAATCTGTTTGTAATCTGTTTTTTTCTTTCAGTTTCAAATATCGTGGCAGCCCTGACGAGTCCACAACAGCAGCTGAAGGACACGAAAATGGGAGAAAACAATCCACAACACCTCGTTAATCTTGCTAATTGCCTGGGGCTACCCCTCGTTAGAACAGAGAATGTCGTAACCATTGACGACCCTTGTGTAAGGTTTGTGTGTATTCAATCAAGAGTGGTTTTAGTAGTTCAAAGACCAATTTCCAGTTTTGCGAGTTTGAAGAACGAGAAAGGAAACTATGTAGATGTGTGTGTGTCGGCTGTAGACTCACCAAAACCGGTTTTACCTGCAACCAATGGCAACAGAGAGTCGGTAAATAACACACTGGTAAACCATAATATCACATTCAAATACGTTTCGGTTTCGTATACAGGGTAATCGAGTTGGAAAACTCGCTCAACCAGTATCGCGGGGTGTGCTCCATGGTGGTCCAGCCTCTGGCAGTAGGCAGCGTGTGCGCAGCTCAGTTCAGCGAGAATAGGAGCTGGTACAGGGGGTGTGTCCTTCAGGTCGAAGGTCACGAGTCCAAGATCCGGTTCCTGGATTACGGGAACGTAGAATGGGTTATGAACCACCTGGTTCAGCCCATCCACCCCAGTCTACTGGAGGTAAGTACGGAAGATTGACAGAATGAGTGTATGTGGAATTGAATTCTCTCTTTTCACAGCTCCCATTCCAAGCCATATGTGCCACTTTCGGGATGGACGATGCAGGTAAAATTTCTATCGTGTGAGTGTCATGTGACTATCGTGTGACTGCTCGTTCACAAAGAGTGGGGGACAGAAGCAGGGGAACTTCTCTACGAATGGACCCGTGAAATTGTGCTAACAGCCAAGGCAAAAACCTAAGTATTCGGTTTCGTCGTTTTATATCGTGTGTTTGTAGGTGAAAACCGTGGCTCCGTCTTCGAGCAAGCTTTTGCACGGGCCCGAGTGTGCCACGGTTGAACTGTTTGAGAAGAGTAGCAGCTGTTCCGACGGGCTAGGGACCAACGTTGCTCTGCGGCTCCCTGGAGCGAGGCCTCAACCAACTGAACCACAACCAGTTAGAAATATTATTTTTACTGTCTTCTATTCTATTGTAGATAATGTGAGGGCTATTGTTTAGACGCTGTTGCTCAAATGTATTGGTGCGTTCTCGCATTGGGCCCTATTGTAACATTTCTTTATTCCGCCCCTTCCCTTTTAGCCTCTCCTTACCTCCCCCTCTTCTTCACACCCACCATCCCTTCCTCTTTTCTCTCTCCTGTCCATCTCTCTCCTGTCCATCTCTTCCGTGGTAGAAGCCTGTCTATAAAGAGGTAAACCCTGCCTTTGAGAGACTGTGTCTCACTCTCTGCGATGATCAACCTCTGGACGAGAGGGAGGCCCTCGCCATGGCGATCAGGAATGCCGTCTTCAACAAACCTGGGTCAGCATCGTTAGCAAACACACGTAGCAAACACAAGCAAAGCAATTATACCAGAATTGCCACGCTCACCGTACAGTGTCTAATGTACTCAGATTCACTCACTAACTGCATTGCAAAGTAAAATTAATGTAGTTTAATTTGGTTGTATTACAGGCTCTGTGTGAGTGGGCGTGCCCTCGAGTTGGTATGTGAGGTGGCTTGTGACACGCCCCCCTCTGTCTCCATGCCACTCCTGGAAACACTGCGTGTGTTGTCCGCATTCCATACCAAGTATAAAAATCAGAGTGAGCTGTCATACACTGTCCTGTGATTTTTGCAGGGTTTGTATTGAGCTCTCAAGTGACAGCTGCCTCTCCCATCTTATCAAGTTGCTCCAGGTTTATGATGATGATGATGTAATTGACTGTGATGTCATCCAACATCACGATATTTATTTTTCACTAAATTAGAACACACCTTCTCAAGCTGTTCTTTCAGAGACACTGTCGCTAATGGTGTGTCTGTTGATGTACACGACCGACTCCTCTGTGCTATTGACAGAGGTTACCATGGATATGTTGATGGGTGTGTTCCGTAACTACGGCAATGACAGAGTTGCTAGGCAACGGCAAGATATCCTCAAGCCCCTGATCTCAATACTGTGTCACGTCACTACTAATAAGCAACAGTGAGTGGAGTGTTCGAACTATTGAGGACACAAAAGGTTTTACCAGAGAGAGAGACTTACGTAGTTCTGAGGGTGATATTTGCGCCCTTTGCTAGAAACTTTATTTACATTCAGGCAGGCAAATGTTTTAACCCGTAAAACATTTTTTCTAGGTTGCTGCAGGTGACCATCTCTCAAGGAGTGGTTCCTTTGCTCTGCAGCTGGCTGGTCAATGCCAGCGACCTTCCTCCGATCTCGTACCACCGTTGCCTTGTCAACCGTGTACTTTCCATGTTAGGGGGTGTGGCCAAACTGCCACGTTACTGCCATGAAGTTTCAAACTTTCTTTCTCTGGATAGCCTAAACACCCACCTTCTTTCATCCAATGAGGTATTAGAAAAATTTCAGTCATTTAGGTATTGCTAGACCACCAAATTATGTGTGTTTGTGGCCCAAAATTTTTAATGGCTGCCAGTTTTACTACATTTTTTTTTTTTATGGCTGGCAATTTTTCAGTTTGCCCATCCAGTACTGAGGCTGCTTGTCGTGCTGTCAGTCTTACCTGAATTTGCATCAAAACTCTACTCAAGTGTACTACTGAAGACCATCTTCAAATTAACGGTGACGTCAGCCATAACTGTGAGTTAACGTTAGTGTCTATTTATAGCCGGTGTTGCTATAAATAGCACTGTTTACGCCCACACAGCGGGTTTTGCTGTGCTCGCTGAAGCAGAATCTACGACTGGTGGAAACTAACTTAAAACACTTTGTTTCTAATTGGGACATCGATATCATTTCAACTGCTAAGGAGTGCTCTACCTGCTGTAAAGAAAATGGAAAATCGAGACCGTCTCTTGCGAAGGGAAAGACAGCACCAACTACTGGGAAAGAAACCCGAACCTCGAAGCCTTCAACGTAAGCTTCTTTACGTTGCAAGCCTTTTCTGAAATGTTTCAGTTGTTCTCAAACTTCCAAAATCTGAATATTGCGTACAGAAAGGCTTCACTAAGTGATTGTACGAGTGGACTGCTAATAGGCAAAGCCTTTTCTCAACCCTCAAAGGTTTTCTTCATTCAAACTTTCAAGCTAAAGTGTAACCCTCTAATCTGGACACTGATGGACAAATAAACTGTCCATATTAGCACGGCGTCTTAATTTCAGGGGTTAACTACATTCTTGGAAGAACAAAAATGTGTCCTTCTTAGAGGTGTCCTCTTTTTATTCGCCGCAACAAGAGACACCTCTGTTTATAGGCTGCATCCCCATCTGTTTATAGGCTGCATCCCCATCTGTTTATAGGCTGCCCCATCTGTTTATAGGCTGCATCCCTATCTGTTTATAGGCTGCCCCATCTGTTTATAGGCTGCATCCCCATCTGTTTATAGGCTGCATCCCCATCTGTTTATAGGCTGCATCCCTATATATCTGTTTATAGACTGCATCCCCATCTGTTTATAGGCTGCATCCCCATGTACTGTGTAGTCAGAGAGAAGAAACAGCTCTGCTGGCTGTCCAGCTCAGAGGGTGTCGTGTGGGGGAGACAATCTCTAACTTCTCACAGACGACCGTCAAATTCATGTCAGTGGTTCATAACTGCCAGCACGTTTAAATTTTGCGTAAATTCACTGAAAGGCATAATAAAATATAGCAAAATTTAACGGACACGTGCCAGCTTCTCTAGCGCTTCTCTGGCGCTTACTTAACAGCATGCTGCATCACTGCTTGCACACACTTGGGTGATGTTGTCTTATAAATTCCTTTTGGGTGTACGAAATATCATCTCCATTTTTGGCTACAGAACTAGTGTTTGGGAACAGGAGTACCAGTTTGACGTTGAAGTCTATGCCCCTATAAAACCAGAGGTGAGAAATTAATTTTTAATTAATTTGTTTCTTGAAATACTGTGCTATAAAGGCATGTTCAATGACTGTGACTGGCTCAGAGGTTCTTCTAAAACTCGTTAAGGCTGCACCGGGGGTGTGGCCTCGGCTCACCCACGGCAACCAGAAAACGGTTCACATCAGTATTGACTTCGATCGCTGGGAGGACAAGGAGTTTGGCATTCTCGGAGGTACGTAGAAAATACTCTTCACGGCAAAAAACTTGCGAGTTTCAGGGATTTTGATGAAATCGTTGCACGAATACTTCATTTTAGTGAGCCGCAGCAATTTTTTAATTGGACATTTTTATTTTTTTTATTGCAGCAAATAACAAGAGCTGGTTGGCACCTCCTGCCGCGTCAAAAACGGCGTCTTACATTAACCCTGTTCTCACTGACTCTGACCTGGACTCCGAGACGGGCAGCGGCTGTGAAGAAGACGGAGACGAGGAAGAAGAGGAGGAGGCAGGCAAACAGGCGTGGCAAGACGACCTTGACTTGGGGTTCGGAGACTAACAACCTTCCTCTTTTGATGTACCACTGTTTTTTATATCCGTGCTGTATATATGTACATAAATATAATGCTAATTAAACGACGTTATAAAAATATTCTCATTGTTCTTTTCTGCTGCTATGGCGACGGAAAAGTTCCCTTGTCCTCGTGTGGAGGAGAGAGAGAAGAGGTGAAAGGTCGCTAGAAGGCGGGAAGGATTGAACTGCACGCAGCATGTTGCGCAATTCCTTGCAACTAGTTTCCAGTGCTGACTCTGATAGCTGCAACGTTAGCATTACTATTAAAAGGCATTACATCATGATTACATCATTCTCACCGCATGTGCTTGGATGTTGTTTTGGATGGCGTCCACCCAGGCGCTCCTCTCCTCGTTGCTAGGGGCAATCATGTAGAATGTTCTGGAACAGCTGTCGGAGTTGGAGACGGAGATTGTCTGGCTTCTGAACACCTCGGCTACTCCGTCTTGGGAGAGGAGATTCTACATACACACACACACACATACATGACGCACACACTATAGCGCATACAATAATGGCAAAGCTCTTTATCCCAATGTATGCACAAATAGTGGGGTAATTAAGCCTTCGCTTAGTGCATGACACACAGTACAGTACGTAATATTTATATTCAACACAATTCATGTATACTACCTGTACCTACGCACAGCATGCAGTTACATGCTGGGCTGGGCACAGGTAGCTGCATGACCAACTGTCGACACATTAGGCCACTCAGGGAAAGTGCATGAAAAATGGTGTCATGTAATAATTATTATGGGGCAGGCAGTGTTAAAGCCTGGCATTAGATTCCCCAGGGGCACGATCGACTGAGATGCTGGAACATACACTGAGTGAGGAGGCAAAGTTGTCAGGTCTGTGGACTCCAAAACAGCGGACCTGTTGAGAGAAAAAAAATCCAACACATTTACGCAGAACCAAAACAACAAGACCAATAACTAGTATTGTTTACATACGGAGGCTTAAAAAGTACCAGAAACAACAGCAAAATGTTGAAATAGAGCTTGATGCAATCTCTACTGCAAGTTACAACCTAAAACACTAAAAGTGGTATATACCCAAAACAAAAACAAAAACAAACGCAACATAAACGATGTTGAAACGAAGTGCAGATGGTTTTGAGCCTGAACGTACCACTGATATAATGGCGTTGGGCGGGGTCTTAGCAACAGCATCAGACTGACGGGCGGTTCCCTGAGCGATGGGCTTGACCCACGCTCTCGGGTGGAGCCTGATGGCTCCGCGAGGAATGGAATCCTGGGAATGAGTGTATGTTTGCATGAAATCGGAAACAACCAACAGGAGTGAGATGGAATGCAATCACAAGTCACATGGGAATTGCTATATACGGCAACACAAGGACACACCCATGCATGCATGAAACATCACACCAGAGAGGAACAACATAACAATGCTCAAATGGCAGCCATAGCACTGACCACACCAGTGGTGGATCCAGGGGGGTTCCTTGGGTTCTGCAGAATCTCCCTTTTCGTCGTTTTGCGCGCATGCGTTGCTGGCCTTGTGCGGGCGCACGAGCGCAGTCGAAAACAGAGGAACCCCCCCCTTTCAAAATCCTAGATCCGCCGCTGCACACACCCAGAGCAATAGGCAGAGCAAAAGCAACAAAAGCTCCCCAAATCGTACCCCATATTTCTTGAAGTAGTATAGCCAAGATCCGTGGAGCACGAAGTACCTTTTCTGCCACTTGTCACCAAAAACACCTTTACAGCAGAACAAAATCCATGTTGTGTTACTTACCTCAAAATACATGTTGTGTTACTTACCTCGTCTGTGGCTGAGCTTCATAAGCCAACCACTTCGCTCAATAAACTCGGGTTCAAAGGTCATGGGGGCCAGCGGGAGAGGCGAGGCTGTGAGTTGCTGAACAGCCTGCACTGTGGGAACCGAGGTGAGGGGAACCGTATTTGAAGTGAGGGGAACCAAATCAGGAGAGGCCTGAGGAGGTGCAGTGGGGGTGGCGAGTGTTGCATGGACGAGACTGGCTTTCTCTGAAACACCTCCAGCTGCTTCCTGAGGGTGGGACCCCAATTCTGCCTTGTCAGCATCAAGTTTTCGTTTCGGAATGTCTCCATCACTTTCAGTTTCATCATTCTTTTCCCCAGCTTCGTCTCCTCTTGGCGGTATTTTCTCTACTGCCCCATCCGTATTGCCTCTACCCTCACTTCCCGCCATTTCCACTCCCTCACGCTCTCGTTCACCTTCTACACTCCCCACCACCTGCATGACAGGGGCAGAGTCCACAACTGGTGCAGCACTGGCCTCTTCTTCTCCTTCCTCTTCCCTCCCTTCACCCTCCTCCTCCGTCATGTCCTCCTCTACACTGGGAGGAGGTGGTGAGGTAGACACACGGAGAAGAAACGAAGCTCTCCCGATGAAGCTGACCGAGCCACTGGATCGCTTCAGAGTCTGAACCTGCTCGGGATTGTCGATGTAGCTTACTCTCATCTCCTTCGATTCTTCCCCATCGCTCCCTCCGTCAGAGAAAGATTGTTGTACATTTCCCCTACCTTCGTCCTGGTTTCCCGCACCCCCAGTGTTAACCTCCTCGCTTTCCTCTTTTCTCATCACCTCCCATCCTTTCTCTACTTCGGTATTGCCTTCCTTAGTTAGTTCAGTTGATGTTGTAGCTAGTACACTATCGGGATGCACAACCTGACTATTTGCCAGAGGACTGCTGTTGAAATGGGTCCACATGCTGCGTTGAACCTTGACGCCGTTTCTCGTGTTTGCGTCGAGAATATCTTCAGCTTCCGAGTAGCGCTTTTTCTTGTCAGATATTTTGGGGCTGGCACTTGCTGTGTTTAGAAGATTCTCTGCAGAGGTCGCCTTTTTGAGAACAAACCTTCTCATTGCTTTCGTTTGACGGCGTTCCTGCTTTCTTGGCTCGTGCATCAACTCGTGCATTGAACTCTGTACATCTGACTTTTCTTCCATCTCCGTCTTGCCCCCATTTTCGTTTTCAGTACCACTAGTAGTGGCAGAATCACCTGCTCCCTGTTGGTTTTGCGGTCTCGGCGTGAAGAGAGGCAAGCAGTTGACTACCATCTGTTGATCCTTTGGGCCCACGAAAAGGTACTCGTCTTTGCTCCTGATCGTGATGACAGTCCCATCTCTCAGAACGATTTCGTTCTTGTTCTGCTGTCGAGGTAGTTTTGGTGGGGCGGGTTGGGGCGAGAATGGAGGAGAAGATTCCCTGAAATGTGGGCCACCGTTCAGTTGCTGTGGTGGTAGAGACACAGCCAATTTGGGGGGTAGCGGTTGTGCCTCGGGACCTGGTTGTGGAGGGAGGGATTGCGCAAGAGGGGGTGCTGCATAATAGGGGGGCGGGTAAAATCCGTCCCCCTGGAGGTCGGAATTTGGAGCTGGAGGGGCCGATGGGTCTGGGGGGAGGGGGCCGGTATTTACCACAGTTCCGTCAAGGTTCACCCCCTCAGGCCCCTGAGCTGTAACTTGGACTTGAGGAAGTCCAGAGATGTCGAAAGTGAAAGCTGGTGAGATGAAAACGGATGAACCGGTTGACTCTGAATTGGTCTGCAGTCCTCTCAATAACTGCTGTTGCCTTCTCAGTTGCTCCTATTGTGTGCATGTTATTCACAGAAACAGCAAACTAGCATTCATTCCTTGACATTTCCTTTAGTACAGCAATTATACACACAGGACAATTGAATTCATGAGGGTGGGGCGAGCAGGTGAGGCAGAGAAAGGGCAGGAGGGTGAGAAGGCAGAAGAAAAGAGGGAGAAAGAGGGAGGGAGAGAGTGTGCGAGATTAAAGGAATGTGGCAGTATAGACAAATCTAATCTATTGTTTTCAGTTCCATGTACTGACACGTTCCCTTTAGATTGCTGACCTGGTGGTTCTGTTGCAACTGCTGCTGTCTCCTGGCCTGGTCTTGGTGAAACTGTTGTTGACGCCTCAGCTGGTCTTGATGTAGCTGCTGCTGACGATGAAGGTTATCCTGCTGAAGTTGCTGCTGTCGTCTAAAGTTCTCCTGCTGTTGCCTCTGCACTTGCTGTGTTTGTGTGTGTGTATGTGTGTGTGTTCATGCGTGTGTGTATATAAAATAAGTGGGGGTATTTTGGTGAAACTGAAGCAAGCTATTGAACTAAACTCAGGAAAGACGTAGGAAGGAATAACCAACAGCACTTACTGCTCTATAGGCAGTGGGCTACCAGAAAGTTCAGCAGGCAAGTCCTCAAAACGATGTGTGCAAAGGTAGAAACACTCTAGTGTGTGCATTAACACACTAATATGGTGTGGTGGTATGCCTACACCCCAACATGGAGATTTCTACTATACAACCTATACACACCAAATTTCATTCCATGACCAAAACCTAGGGAATTTGAGTCACAAGTGTAACCAGAGTTTTATGAGGGTTAATGTTCCGTGCAGTAACTATAATACATCCCTACAAACGTTCCGTGCAGCGGTAGCTATAATACTAACCTGCTGGATTTGCACCTGCTGTTGTCTGTTTCGGTCCAACTGCATCCGATGCTGGTTGGACAGAAACTGCTGCTGAGTTTGGTGAAACCTTCACAAAACAAAAGTACAACTTTGTGCATGTGATCACTATATAAGTAGGGTGGTTTTGCAGCATTATGCCATGATCATATCACATGTCACTCTATCTCATTGCCTGCTGGCTAGTTGGCCCACTTCAATGAACTCATTAGCCCAAATGTCATGTATGGGCTAACAGAACAACTGCTACAAACGATATACCAATAGGCATTAGATTTCCACTTTGTTAGCTGTATTCCCGCATATTTACTGTCGTATTTGCTGTTGCTGCCTTGACTGCTGTTGCTGTTGCTGATGGATTCTCATCTGCTGCTGGTGAATGCTGGGTCCAGGAGGCGGCCGAAAAACTGGCGGCCGGGGAGCAGGAGGGGGACGCGGAGGCGGTATGTACGGCATCTAAAACGGAGAGACGGTTCTGTAATACGAGCGATAACTGACAACTGCTCGCAAGCTAATTAGCATAAACGAGTCGATTCCTTTACCGCTGTAGCTAGCGGGTAGTTTTTGAGCTTCCACTTATGCACTGCCCAACGCCGTATTATCAAGGTATATACCTCTCTTCCACTGTGGTGGTCTGAGTCACCGTCTCTTTGACAAAGGCAGCAAAATGGGGGAGGGCCAAAGTCGTGATCGTGTA